CGGGTGAAGAGAACGAGTAAGAAGCCAAGTAAATACATGTTCATCGTAAATGATGAAAAAGCGGGAAAAAAGTGGACAAAGATAGTGCAATTTGGTTTCTGACAGAAGTGAAAACGTGTTAATAGCACCAACTGTGCCAAATGGGACTCCACTTAGGACACATTAAGACTCGGTAAAGGCCAAATACTCGAAGAACTTGAGGCACTTGAGACTGGGGCAAGCTGTACAAAGTACGGAGTAAGATGTGTGGTATTCAGTCTGCAAATAGCGGGCGGTATATGGAGTTAGTAAGGTATCTTATAGCGGGCCGCGAGCGTCATCAGGACTGGCCGGTACTACGAGGTTGAAGAGGAACGTGTCACGCCAGTTCAAGAGTTTTGTACGAATCTCCGTAGCTTTTCTTGAAGAAATCTTTTGCTTTCCCATCCATTTTTATCAATGTATCGTACTGTGTAAATTTCAACCAAAACATAAAGAGAACAGAGGAAATGAATCAACATCCACGACCTTCATGAACGACACTTCTCTCCGCCATGAGACGAGTATCTCAGTCTCAAGACGAGCCAAGACAGAACTCACAGATGTATGTAAGTCGAGATGGGGCGTGTTAGTAGATACCTATTGCCGTCCTCATGGCTTTCCAGCAAGGCCTGCCAGCCCGGTGCGACATAGTACCATGGGCCCCGTATGCGTATGCGTAAGGTGTATTGTTAGTACGTCGTATCTGGACAGCCTTTTGCACTTGTTTGTCCCAAGCAGCGCATTAGTGTTTAGTATTGCGGGTGATTATTTGGGACTGCAAGGCCACAAAGATCACATTGTTCGGGCTTGGCCCGAGATTTCTCTCCGACCTATTTACTCGTGGTTTTGTCGACCGTTTGTACCGTCTCTGATCGCATTTCTCGTGTTAAGTCACGTTGGTGAGCGATCAAGGTGGCAGCGTGAGATACTTGTTAGTTTTCGTCGGTTCTTGTGTCTTCCGTGATCTGGTATAGCCCACTGGGCAACCGGCCCCTTCCTTCTAAGCTCCATTATTCTTCGCTTGACTTCTTGCCCGCGCTCGGGTTGTCATAACTCGGCCGCTGACTGCCGCTCCTTCCTCCCTTTCGGCGGTCGTCTTTCGAGCACAGGACTGCTGTAGACAGTCATCTCCATAGAATGACGTTTTTTTCTGTTCAAAGCCAGCATCTCGTTTTCGGTCCTTTGTCCAGCTCCTCGTCGCTGTTTATCACCTCGTACGAATTACGGAAGACCCATTTGAGTGATCCTCCCACTGCGCCTGCCTTGTCCTGCTGGCGTAATTACGTCGCACTCTGTAATTACATCTTTCCTTTCTGGGGACCGTGCGAGTGAAGAATGGACGAAGAAGGAAAGAAGGCGCCATGGAAAGCTGGAAAGCTGCAAGGGGGGAAAAAACGGAAAGAACGAGCAATGCACGATCCGGCTTCGAGAATACGACAGCTCGCAGCCACACACTATTGATTTGATTTTGCTGTACGTCCCGCTGTTCCTTAGCCCAGGTGACTCCGAGCACTACAATACTTCGTACAGTCCAGGCCCCCCCAAAACTAAAAAGTACAAGCTTACTGAAAGTTTAAAATGGTCCCCCTTTTCGGCACATAAGCGTCTCAAGTGCGCTGCCATCCCTGCAAACAACGCTGGCAAGTGCCACCTGGTCGGCTGTATCGGATGATCGCCCCAGGCTTCTTTGTTGGGAAGGAGGGTTTGGTACGGCATGGTAGGGGGAAACGGGAGAGACAGCGCGAGGGGCAAGGGCCCGAAAGGGAAAGAGAGCAACAGGTACCAGTGTTTTACGCACGGAGCACGGCAGTCCACTGCCGAAGCTGGTCCTCTCTGGTCGACCGTGTCAAAATAGAAATAACGAAATAGGAGCGCCGTCTTTCTTTCCTTTTTCGTGCTTTGGCCCGTTTCCCTTTTTGAGACTAGACTTCCTCGGTAGTCTGTTCGTTCGTTCTTTGCAGCTTTCGAGATTTCTTCTCATTCGTTTGTTTGTTCGTTCCTTCCTCTTTGGAAGCTCGCAAGTCCTGTGTCAACGCCTTCCTTTCGTAGCCCCCTTTGCCCTTGTTCATTTCCCTCGCTCCTTCCTTGTTTCCATATCTCACCCTCCTCCAAAATCTGCAGCCATGGCCATCTCCACAAAGCTGGAAATGCATCACTTGGCACTTCACTTGACATCCAATCCACAAGCCCTCCTCGACCCCCCGCCCCTCCCCCCCTCCCCTTCGTTCAAAGTGTGGCGTTCTGCTAGTTCGCATTGGCACGATGCAACAACCCCCCCGGTTCCTGGTGAGGGACTATTGATATCACCGGCAGGCCTTGTTCTTATGAGGCCAGGGCCAGGGTGCATTTTTAGCCTTGATCGACTCTTATTGTTCGTCCTTTGAACTTTTGTATTCTATTTCTCCTGATCGGCACTGCTCTGTCGGTAGGTGTGGTGCCCCGCTCTCCGTCCATGTACGATGTACAACTGCAGGCCATTACGAATCTGCAGAGACTTTTCGACACCGAGTTGCAAAGTACTTCCACATGGCGAGAATGCACTTGTTAGCGGGCAAGTTAGACTGCAAGCACTGTCTAAGACCATAACGAGCAATATGTTGCGAGGTCACTTTTCGTCGACATGACGTCGAAGAACAAGAACATCCTTGAGTTAGTGCAACCGACGACGTACGAGGTATGGACGCTCAGTTCTCTAGACGAGAGGTGAGCAGTTGCTGACATGAGATTGAGATTGAGACTTCCTGGACACATCAACAAGGCCAAACAAAAGCAGCTCACCACAAATCACATCAATAAACGGAAGCTCTCACAAGACACCGTACACAGACGCCCGCCTCCCGTCTGTAAGCCTATTTTTAGAGTGTCGTGCTGTCCGGTGTTAGAGGCTCACCCGTGCAAAGCCCGCTTTTGGAGCTTTTTGGGCTTTTATTACAGCCGCCTTTCTGTGCTGTCGTATCCTCCTCTCTCCACATTGGTGTCCCTCGCATCTCGCTCACCAAAGCCGTAAACCCTGTCCAATATTACGACGTTTAATATTGGCTCGCGTGCGTTGCATCAAAAGCACAGAGCAGAGATAGACAACTGTGGTGTGATACCTTTCTTGACGCCCACAATGACGACAAAACGAAAATCACAATGATGCAGGGGAGCAAAATCAAACCGCTGACTCGTGACGAACGACAACACAGCCAAAGAAACCGAACAAGGATGTCCACCCCAGTGTTCCCTTGTCGGCTTTTGTCGCCGATGTTATCCTTGGCCGTCAAAAGGACGACGTGAATGCAGCTCATGGACGCACCCAGCCTGCATCGCCGTCCACAACTACCGGCCTCGCCGTGGTGGTGTTCAGCTACGGACACCAGAGGGCCGAGTGCGTCGGCATATCTATGAAAATGCTTCGGCCACTTGCTTCTGTTTTTGCCTTCTCGCATGTGAAGGGAGATGGGGCAACATGGGACGAGATGGTTCGAGACGAGACGACCAGCAGACCTGACGACCTATGCCAATGGGTGCTATGCAGCAAGACATGTCCATGTACGGCGTCCCCTCTCTTCCTTTTGTCCTCCTGTCTCCCCATTTGCGAGAAACGGGCGCGCACTGCTGCAGAATTGCAGGCAACTCGTACCACCCAATCTACCGAGTGCTACCTCAGACACCAGAGCAAATGGACACGGATGCCTTGGCGAGCCATACAAGTGGCACTTGGGTAAAACGAAAAAACAAGCCTTCCATACGACGTACCGCCCCAGTGAACTTGAAGGCCACTTTGAACTGTAACCCAAAGAGGACACTAATGATACAGCGCAAATGCAATGCCAAAAAGCCACTTGGGATACGACTCTGGTCCAGCGTGTCAAGGCCAGTTGAAGACACCGGGTAATCAATCAAGTGGGCAGAGCTTCAGTGCAACAGTTCACTTCCGCTTCGTTCCTTGTCTGGGCGGAGAATAGGGAGGGCCAAAGAAAACGACGTACGACATTGTACTGAGTCTCGTTCTGCAGTTCAAATGGTAGAAGCTGAGAAGGAGAAGCCGAGGCCAGAAAGACCAACCAAAGAGCAGTACGAACAATACGAACAGTACGAATACGCACAAGGACATGTCTTGTCGTGACGAAAGCGGAAGGCAGTTGAAAATAAACGATGGTATCGAATTACCGAATGGCATGTGCTTTTCGACAGAGGAAATATATGGGGTATTACGGAGTACGAACGCAGCACATCCCTCTTCGTCTGTGTCACTTTCTTACCTACCCCTACCCTCCTCCCTGCGAACCGTCAGAGCCTAGACTGTTTGCATTGCGTTGCCGTCGGAGAGCATGGTCGTCTGCCGCTGATGATGAGATTTGCTGGCACTCGAATAATACTCAATACACGAATGATACTCGGCAAAACAATGGAGCATCTCACCCCCTCCTTGTCACAGTAAGAAAACGGCCAACGTCGAGTCGAGTGGCAGTTGGACTAGGCTGGGGTTCCTATGATAACAGACATCCAATTGGTGTCATGAATGCGAAAATGGCACAACAGAAACTCCCGAGCGGCAAGGTAGAGGTTGCCCGCTACGAGTCACACTGAAGGGCGTAACATTCGGGTACGAACAGGTATTGGAGCCTATGGAGAAGAAAGTACGGAATAGAGCCCTGCTGGGAGTTGGTCTGTGAGTAATACGACGAAAGGGAGCCGGCGCGTCGCGCCGACAAGTGGGGTGGATGTGGATAGGTGACAAGGAAAAAACTACGAAATGAAATATAAAAATGAAAAAAGACTGATGCGGAGAGACAAGTCTCTCGTGGGTTCCTTTCGTGTCTTGTCTTGTTCTATCTACATTTTCCTTTGTGCCATTGATTATTGTTTATTTGCAGTAGGTTCACTCGGTTGCGGAAAGGATAACTTCAAGAAAAGAAAAGAGGGAGAACAGAAAAAGAAATAATAATAATAAAATTAACTTCACAATAGAAATTATTGTCCTCTCTCACCACATGCGCATTGCCACCAACACCAACGTCCGTTTATTTTTGTGTTTGTCCCAGTAGTTGTCGTATGCCTCATCAGTTGTCCCTGTTTTCGCCAAGGTTACTCTGCAGGACCTCGACATGGACAGCCGTTTCGATCTCGCACAGAGGCCCGACTTTGCAGCCAACTCCAGCCTCCAGGCCGGCGCCTTTGCCCTGCGTCTGTCGACTGCCGGTGCGCATTGCCATTTTGTACAAAATTACAGGAGCCATCCCCCTTCCATCACGCAACATTGGGACGCAGTATTACGTTGCACGCCGAAATACGACGCGATGTTCTCCCCCGCCTCTTCCTCCGGGTGGACAAGAAAATGGGCAACTGTGGTTCGCCCTACTCTGGTTGCGCAGCGCCCTGGCTCGAGAAATCCCCGGCACGTCGTTTTGCATTCGATTTCGGGGTTGCGAGACGTCGTCCGAGCCAGAGCGAGCCCGTGTGCTGCTTATTTCTGTCGCGTGCAGCCCATTGTCTCTCGCACGACGTAGGGACAGCCCGTCCGTCCATCCGACGCTATGCCGTACTCAGTGCATACATACACGTACTCCGTACCTCCGTATGCATGTATTGTTGACCGTCAGCCGTGCACCGTGGAGATGGCCCGCCCAAAAAAAAGAATGGAAATAGAAACCAGCCAGCGTTGCAGCCGTTTGACTTTGATATTCCGGTACGTTGCCGCCGGGTGCGGGCGTCGACGCAGACTGTAATTTTATGCCAGACCGAGCTCTGCTTTCATGTTCATGGTTCCACGTTATGCTCCCAGGCTCTTTGCCTCGCTTTTTCTATATACCAAACACTTGCTGCGCTTATTTATTTTATTTAGTTTCATATCATGAGGTCTTTGTTCACTCCCTTTTGGCTTGGATGGCCCATGGGATTTGATACTATTATTGTGACTGAAAGTAGTACAGCGTTCCTTTTATTTTCTGTATTTCTTCAACATGTGTTCTCCAGTGTTTTCTTGCATTTTGTTTAAAACAGCAGCACGGGCGTGACCGACCGACCGAGAATGGAATGCTTTGTGCGTTGAACTTCCTACAGTCATCACTGTTCACGTCCCAACGACGACGTCCATCGAGGACTATATCAGATGGAAGCGCCCATATTGCACATCCGATACAAAAGAAAATACAGACGATCCGCTGACCCAGTTAATGCGTTCCATGTGGACATCAGTGTGTGCTATAATAGCAGCCGTTTGGTGAGATAATAGGGCCAACTACGATGTGTGGCTGGTGCGTTAAGGCGAATGCGTGGTAGGGCTTTCAGGTATTAAGCATGGAATTAAGGGAGTGATGAAATAAGAAGGAGAAACGCGGCACGGCACACTGCGTTTGCGTCAAAGGATGCCGGCTGTAGTTGAAAGGAAATGAGACGTTGAGGGCAGATTCGCAACGACGACAAGTACGGGAATGAGCGAACGTGGAACCAAAATACATTAAATAAAATACATAAATAAAAGCATCATACACAGATATACGCAACACACAAGCACATCGAACTTGACTCCCGTTTCTCTTCTTAAAATTAAAGGGGCCAGCAACGCAATGCCGGCCGATCTTCCAGGCGATCCTGTCAACTTTGCCGCCCCGTGCAAGGACAGATGCAAAATGCAAAGAAAATGCAGGACCCAAGGAAAAGTCCTGCCCATGCGTCAATCCGCAAACGATAGCTGCGCAGTGCTCCTCGTACCAAATACGAGGCCCGTGTTCATATGATTGTTGCTATTACCGAGTAGCGTTTCTATATTCCGTGCAAGTCCTCCGTATGCATGCTGGCCTCTTCAAACGCTCTGATCGACGGTTTTATAACAGCAGTTCGCATTGGAGGTATATTGCTCGTTATTTGCTCCTGTTTAACCTTGTGTGTCCAACACCAAATACCGCTGGCTAAATGGCAAGCGAAATTCGTCGGGCTGGCCATGCATGTGCGGTTGGCGGTGTATCGAACGGGTGTCGGACAGACGTCTCGTGGTTGGCGCGGCAAGGACAGGCAAATCTGCGAAGAAAAGGCAACAAAAAAAAAAAAAAAAAAAAAACAAACTAAACAAACACACATAAAAAAGGTATAGAGGAATGGCAGTGTAGAGCGACACGTGCCTCCTTTCCCGTCTCACTGTAGTTCACCATACACGATACTTTGTGTACATAGTACGGCACTGCAATACTGCGTCCCTTGTGATTCACACTTTTATTTAGATTATTTTGCGTTTACCTGGAAATACAGATTGCTCCTGGGAGCTGGAAGGAGTGCAATATACTCTATCTGTCCCTGGGGATATTGAGATTCATTCCGGATTTTACTGCAAAAGTAAATACATGCAGTCCAAGCAAGGACATGCGTCCCGGAAGAGTGTAGGAGTAACTGAAGGCATCTGTACAGAAATGCAAAGTAACTAAGTAATAGGACAAGGTACATGTAGCCGAACCAAAAAAAATAGTGAATTATTATGCTACGTTTTGAGGCAACGAAATCTGAAAACTTTGCAAGTCTCATTTTTTTTTTCCCTTATCCCCTTTGTACTATTGCTTCCTCCACATGTGTCCCAAACTTCTATCCCGTCTCCCCTCCCCGCGCCATACAACGAGCATTATTAACAAAAGGCTGGCGGCTCAGCGTTCCGGTACGGCCAGGGATCAGGGGGGTTGGAAATAAAGTAATCTCCCCGGCAAAGAGGCTGTGATCGATGAACGGCACGAAGAAAGGGGAAGAGGATGGAAACATGAGGAAAGCTGCAATGCGAGAGAATGAACCATACATAGTCAGGAACTTAAATCGCCGAGTATATCAAGAGCGTTGAACGGTAGTGGTATTCTGCAGCGGTTTCTGTTTCATAAAATGACAAGAGTATTCTGCTTAAAAAAATCAAAACAATAAATAAAGTGATAACCAAAAGAGGTGTTTTTGTCCTTTTTTCTTTCCATTATTTTACAGGCCACGTTGTATTCCGTGAAGCAAGAGAAAAGTCGCGACAAGAACAAAACAACATCCTTCGGCCGCAACGACACAATTTTGTGCTTGGCAGCCAGCCATCCCGGCATGTCCTGGGCACTGGGTATTGCGTAATTCGAGACAAGTGCAGCCGGATTTGTTGACGCGTTCATGTTGGCTGCACAAACACAAACGGCAAAGCATTGCCCTCCCATCCTTTGCCACCAAGGGCTGGCACGCGCCTTGTTTCGTTCGTCTTCTCCAACTTGTCGTGCATATCCATCTATCCGGACGCAACACACCTTGATACACAACTTAGTTGCAACGGAAAATCAAGGAGCAGCAACAGCACGGCCTCGCAACCCAACAGACATCACACTCTCACATTGATCCTGCCATCCTGACATCCTTCGCTCTTCTCCTTGCTCTGCGTCCCCTCCCGTTGCAACCCGTGCCCTCCCCCATACCGCTGTGCTGCGACGTTTGGTTGTCTCTGATCGTCCACAGCAACGCTGGGTCGGCGCTTTTGTCGGGACCGAAGACGTGGAGGGCCCTGGGACGGGTGCTGCTGGCCTGGAACAACACCCAGTCTCAGTCGTCCAGCCCCCTATATTGTCTGTTTTTCTCTTATATGTCCAGGATGCACTGACTGCACTGGTCCACAGCCACTGCGGCCTAGCCACCGGCAGGTTCCGTACGAGAGCTTCGGTCTGAACCTTGTCTGGGCCTGGGTCAAGGGCTTGAAGCTTCATCAGGGAGAGCTGCGGACCAGCTTCTGCGATAATATGGATGTCAACCGTGGGATCCAGTGGTTCACGTCGTCTGTCTCTGGAGCTGTCAAAGCGGCGTGCTCCTCTGTCAAAAGCTCTGCTGCTTCTGGGTTGCTATTTTGGATTATAGAAAGCAACATTAGCATGGGCATGAAGCATCGGGAAAAGGAGTAAAAATAAACACCGGTGAGGATTTCAGATGTCGCTGCAACGACACGGCAAAATGAAAACAATATGAGACATCAGTTTTGCGACACGAACATCATCTTGGAAATTATCACGGCTGTTGGGCGGGTTAGACAGATGGTTGGCGATCGACACAGCCCGAGTTGGCCGGTTCTTTTCGGCATGTCTTTCTGCGAATCGGATCCGACAGCCTGTGCCCGACGGTGATCCGTTCGCAAAGGATCTCGTGATCAGGTTTAATGTTCAAGAGGGAAATGCAGGAGAATGTCCATGAATTTTGTGCCGGAATACTTGTAGTAGACCGAAAGTATGTGTAAAAGCAGAATCAAAATAACCAATGGATTATCCGCATATGCGATGGAAATATACCCAACATGTGATGGCAATGCAGCAAAATATACGCGGACAGAAAAAGCCAAACCGTAACTCCAATGACCCAACACGCCGTGTTTACACAGTGGCTTTTGATTTTTGTGCTGTAGCCAACGTATGCAATAGGCCCTACCCTACTCCGCGCCCGCCATAGCCACGTCTTCAATCTCGCCGGCGACGGGCCCGCCTGGCATTTGCAGAGCATCCATCTCCTGCAGCGTGTAGTCCACCAGGTAGCTCTCGTCCAGCAGCTCGGCCATGCGCCGGTAGTGGCGCTCCGTGTAGGCCAGCAGCGCATCGAGGACGTCCTTGATGTTGGCGCCGCGGATGCTGCTGCTGACGCCGCCAGTGCTCATGTCGTCCACCACCGGCTCACCGCCCTCGACAGCCTTGGAGTGCCGGCGCCGGGCAAGCCCGGCCAGCCGCGTCGCCGAGTAGCTGCGCACAATCGAGGCAAGCACGCGCTGCGCCACCGTCGCGGTGCGTCCGTTGGTGTTCCAATCACGCACGCGCAGCAGCAACAGGTAGAGCTGGTCGTCCGTCAGCGAGGCCAGCGCGGCGTCGACGCCTGGGTTCGCGCCATACTCGCCAACCTGCGACAAGACGGACAGCAGACGACCCGGCTGGTTGAGCTGCAGCGCCAGCGTGAGGGCCTCGCGGTACGCGCCGCGGCGCATGTGGTTGGCCAGCAGCTGTTCCTGCTCGACGCGCTCCTTGGCGGCTTCGGCCGCGGCAGCCACTGTCGACGCAGTCGTGTCGCGCCAGAAGGAGATCGTGGCGTCGCCGCCACCGGACACAAACATGCGTGGGCGCCTCTTCTTGGACGATGTAGCGGTCGTAGTCGTAGTCGTAGTCGTTGTCGTAGTCGTAGACGTGGTCGGGGCCGGGGCCGGGTTGCGCACAGCCAGTGCCCACACACGGTCTTCGTGGTTGTCGAGGGTGCACGCCGCCTCGCCCGACGCGGCATCCCAGACCTTCACAAGACCGTCGCCACCGGCACTGGCAAAGAGCACGGGAGCAGGGCCGCGGGAGGAAGAGGCGCTGCGGCGCGACGGCCGTTCTTCGTCGTTGTCGAGATCCATGTATTCGTCATCCGCTTCGCCGCCGTCGTCGTCGTCGTTCCCGTCGTCGTCGTCGTTCCCGTCGTCCTCGGCGCCGTCGCCGCCGCTGCCCAGCCACGCCACCTTGAGAACGCTGTTCGTGTGGCCCTCAAACGTCCGCAGGCATGTGTAGTCCGCCAGGCTCCACAGCTTGACCGTCTTGTCACCGCTGCCCGTCAGGACAAAACCACGGCTGCCGCCGGCCACGGTGCCCGTGTCACTCGTCAGCGAGGGGGTGTGCAGCGGTGCAAACTTGACCGACCACACACCGCGGCGGTGGCCCCGTAGAATGCCCTGCACCTCGCCCTCGCGCACCGAAAAGATCTTGACCGTGCGGTCCTGCGACGACGACGCAAACAGCTGCCCGGCCGCATCCACGTCCAGCGCATTGATGTCCTTGTCGTGTGCCTTGCGGGTGAACAGGGCGCGCTGCTGCGCCGACGATGCAGTTGGTGCCTGCCGTGGGATGTCCCAACGCTTGACCGTCAGATCCTGCGAGCCCGTGACGAGGAATGCCGGCGGGTGGTTGAGGGCATCCTCAAACGCAGGCGTGCCTGCTTCGGGCACGGCCTTGGGCAGCGCGACGGCACCGACAGACTCCGCATGGCCTGCAAAGACGGCATAGCAGCTGTACACTTTGTTGCCGCCGGCGTCCGTCGCCGATTGATCGACGCGCCAAAGCCGCGCGGTGTTGTCCTTGGCACCCGTGGCAACCCAGTGGCCCGACCAGTCGACGTCAAGCGACACCACAATGTCAGTGTGGCCTTTCAGCAAGGCTACATCCTGGCCAAAATAGGCAGCACTGCTGGGTGTCGATGAAGCTTCCGGTTCCGCCACGGAGACAATGCGCACGTCCTCCGAGTTGGTGCCCAGCGCCAGCAGCGACTGGTCGGGCAGCAAGAAGGCTAGGTCGATGACGTCGTCGTGTGTGCCCGAGATGCGCCGCGCCGGCTCGAGGGGTGCGAGGCCGCTGCTGTCACCACCAGCCTTGGCATTGCTGGTAAATGTGTTCAGCAGATCCCGCGATGTCGGCACAGGGTAGAGAGCAAGAGTCTGGTCCATCTGCACACATAGAAGTGTCGACTGCGCGGGCCGGAACAGCGCTGCAACAATCAGCTCCTCGTCCGATCGTGCTGGCTGCTCGGCCGTGATCTCACGGCCTGTACGTGTCTCCCACAGCCGGATACAGCCGTTGGCACCAGCAGAGTAGGTCACGGCGCCGCTGTCAGCCTCTGCATCGGCACCGTCGGCACCAGACACAAAGCCAGCTGCCTCAATCAGCTCAAACGTCGGCACCACGCGCCGCTGCGTCCACGTTTTGGCGTCCCACCAGATGATGGTCTTGTCGCGACCGGCCGTGACAAAGACGTTTTGCGCCGGCGAGTAGTCAAGGGCCTGCACGTCTGACACGTGCGCATCCAGATTGGCCACAACAGCTCGCTTGTGCAGGTCCCACACGCGCACCTTGCCGTCCTGGCTGCCCGACGCAAGCCGGAAGCGAGCTGCCGTGTCCACAGCCTGTGCTGTAGACGCGGGCAAGCTCTCCTGCTGGGTGCCCTTCTTGTTCTTCTTTTTCTTGCCGTCCCGTGCGGCCACCTCAGCAGGAGCACCGCCGGCGGTTGCTGCGACCTCGAAAAAGTGCAGCGCCGAGACGAGCACGCTGGGCCCGCGGAACGTGTGCGTCACAAAGCCGCCCCGGATATCCCACACCTTGATGTTGCCGTCGGCGGCGCCCGTGGCCAGGAGTGTGCTTGTGCGGTCCACGGCGAGAACGACGGCCGGCGTGGCGTGCGGCTTGAGCGTGCGTAGAAGAGTTGGCTCGACGGCGTCCAGGTCCTGGGACACCTGTAGGGCATAGATGCGCATGGCCAGGGACCGCGAGCAGACGACGAGGTGGGATGCGGATGGCGATACTGAGAGGAGAGGTCAGTGTGACGAGTTGGATGGAGCAAAAGTGCAACAAAACAAAGAAAATGAGAGACGGAGAGAGGGCCATAATACGAACATATTAATGTCGAGATTGGTTCGCCATCCTAGAGCATCAACGTTAGCAGCTGTCCCGCATATCGACTCCTACCAATTGCAGCCGACGTACTCCTTCAATTCGTGCAAACAGCTTGCCTGTCGCCAGGTCCGTGAGCACAGCATCCTCGCCGAGCGTCGTCGCCAGAATGCGCGAGCCGCTGTCGAGAGCCACTGAACCACCTGTGTAGATTGGCCGGATGACCTGGTCAACCTCAAAGGTCGTCTTGTACGCGAGCTTCGTCGCCATGGTGGGCGAGTGGTTGTAGGGTGCTGTGTGGTTGGGATTGTGTCACGAAGCTCGGTTTGTTGTTGATTTCGCTCGCCGTGAAGATTTTCCTAGTGGACTATTTTCTTGTCCCTCTGCTCCTTCTGCGTTTTGCAGTTTTGCAGTTGGCACTGGCGCTTTCCAAACTTTTTTTAACGATAAGAAATAAAGTTATCTTAGCGCGAAGCTGAGGAAAACTGTGGACTGTGCTGAGCCACAGTGCGTAGTTTCTCGCACGGTACAGCTCAGTGTCGATTGCGCCTGCCGCTTCAAAAGTGTGTCTTCCTAGAGCAGTGAGTTGAGTAGCAGCTCCCCTGTAGCACCTGCCCCGTAGCGAGCTAGTACGGAGTTCATAACAACGGGGGTCATAGGTGACACTGCCTTCGCTTTTCGCCTCACTTCTCGCTTCATCGTCCCGAACCACGTTCTCTCATGTCGCGCACGGCATGTGAACAGTGCACGCCTTTTTGAGAATGACGAGGCTCGGTCCGTTGACGTCGCAGGCGCTTGTAAGTATGAGCCTTGCTTCTTGTTGGTGATCGTGTCTCACCCTGCCTCACGGTCACTTCATTTCGCTTCTCACTAACCGCTGCTCCTCAGGGCCGCTCCCCTTACGACATCCTCGTGCTGGGCAATGGCGAGGCCAACCCGCGCGAACCGCCGCAAGACTACGATGAGCGTGGCCGGCCTGTCAATGCAGAGACGAAGCGTATCAACCGCAACATTGTCCGGTCACACAATGAGGTCATGCATGTGATCGGCGTTGCCGAGCCGGACAGCCTTATCACGGCCGAGTCCGAATCGGACAACCAGCTGATCCAGCAGCACCTTGAGGACATGCTGGGCCGCAAGCTCTGGGACCCGGCTCGGGTGATCGGCGCCCTGGGTGTTTGGGGTGCCGAGCCGCTGCGGCAGCGGGCGTTGGTAGGTGTATCTGGTGCTGTGCTGTTTTGATGTCCAAACCTTGTCATCGCTGACGATGTAGCTTTATACCCAATTTTCCACTTACCCGCCTTGGAGGCACTTCCGGCAGGACTACGGTCTGCACCCCCTCTTCGATATTCTATCCAGCGGCGTCCTGGCTAGCGTCGTGGATCGTTTCCTGCGGCATGCCTCCCTTGAGCGCAAGAGCATCCGCGAGAACCTCTGGTCAGTGCGCCCGGGTGCCTGCGTTTGGTTTTTGCGCAAGCCCTGATTCTGAAAACTTGTTTTTACCGTGCTTTGTTTGCTGTTTTTTTTCGTATTGCCGTATTGCCGTCTTGCCGTTTGCAATCCGACTAACCCTCCCTAGGCTTCGCATCGCCACCAAATATGTGCGTGTGCACCTTCAGCTCTTCTCGTGTCTCCAACGACTCGCCATCATACCTGCATTCCCTTGGCTTCCGGGACCGCTCTATTTCGTTCCCTTCTCCAGTGATTCGCCCATTGCCCGTCCGCCGATCCTTCCGACGTCGTACTCTTTCGGCGGCGTGGCGGAGTGGGTGGGACAGGTTCTGTTCTGCGTTGCACCCATTGCCGTGTTTTACGGCTACACAGAACTCCGGGAGCAACTCTCACACCACCTCAACTACGCTATCTATGACACCCTGAATACGCCTTCCAACCCGCCCCTGCAGCGGCCCGTGTCCGAGTTTAACCCGTATACCGGCGAGCGCCGGTTGGCAGGGCTTCCTAATGTCGAGGTGCTGCCTCCACGGCCACCAGTGCCTCCACCTCCGCCGCCACAACAGCAAACGCAAACACGGACACGACCTGCTGTCCCGCCGCCGCCGGCCGACAGCCAGCGCCTCTTGAGTGAAGGGGATGAACATAACGACAGCAACCGACGGAACGCCATTGATGGTGTCCAGGATGCGGTGGCTGTTGATGAAAGTGCAAACGAAAGAGCCGGCGAGGCGTCGGGTTCGTCTGAAACGACCCCGACCCAACAGCAGCACCGCACCTCGACGACGCCTCCGCCAGGCTCGCCGACAAACGCACCTCGTCGGCGGAATACCGTGTCCAGTGGCGGGGGCGGTGATGGCTACATTAGCGAAGAGGAGGAGTTTGAGCTGAGCGCGACATTGGTCAGTTTCGATGTGGAGGCTGGGTCGGCGGGCGACGCACCGCCCAATGCGTGGTCCGCCGAGCTCCGCCAGAGCGCCACGGTGAGCATAGGTTACGAGGGCGACGGTTATGGCCCCTTCGGTGGCAGCCCCTCACTCGGCACCTACCTCCGGGGTGTTTACTACCCAGGCGTTAACGCGCCGTTCAATTCGGATACGATGTTGTCGAGGCTCCCGGCCGCCATCTTGTCCGATAACGCTGCGTCACTTGCCGCCAAGCTGTTGCTTGTCGACTGTGAAGCAGCCGTCGTGCGCCTCATGGCCCGCGGCTACCGCTTGCAGCACGGCCAACGGGTGGACGACCTGTACGACCTCGGCACCGTGCCGTTTCCCTTTGTGCCGGGCGGGACGTTCTCGCTGAGCGCGGCAAACCACTACGCTATGGCTATCGTACTGGAGGCCGCTGTCAAGTCTGTCGGGGTCCTGGCTGCACTGGGCATCTCGTGGCTCTACAGGGGTAGCCAGCAAGGCTGGAGCTTCATGCGTGTGGTGCGGGAGAAGCTGAAATTATATGGTGCACAGAAGCGCGAAAGCGATCCTATTGACGTCGTTTAGTTAGACGTGTCGGGCGGGTCAAACACGTAGGGCTTGGGTTGCAAACACTGTATATTGCCATTCATATTATGGGCGTTGGAGGGACAGCGTGCTTTTTCATATGCGCTTGACGGGTATTGTCCATAGTGTTATTGTACTCGAGCTTGTGCACATCATACCCCGATCTCGTCATGTATTAACATCAGGTGCAAAAAAAAAAAAGATAAGAAATATGGTCATGGTCACATTACGCTGTCCATTTCTTTGGACACAGCGGCATCGTATGTTACAGGCTCCGACGGCTGTGGCAACACCACCGCATCCCAATTCACTCCCGCGATGCCCTCTGCTTTCCCTTCTTGCTCTTATTTCCTGTCGTTGCGCGTGCCGCTTTCCGCTCGTCCACCTGCTCTTTGAGAATGTCGTACAGGTCCTCGTTACGCCGCGCCAGCAGCAGCACGTCGTCGGTTGTTATGGTCGATCGCCCCGCGTGGCGGCTGAAGCTCTCGAGATCAGCGGCCACCGACTCAATCTGCGTCCACACCATATCGGCGAGGGCGCCAATGAACTGGGGCGTGGCGTTACGGTTCTGCTTGATGGACTCCTGGTCGACGAGGTCACTGACAGCAGACCAGAGGGCGGATTTGAGCTGCTGTTGGGTTAGTGGTCAGACAAATACAGGCAATCAAAATACGAGGAGCGATAAAAGCACAAAATTACCTCCTGCTCGTCTTGGTTGGCCATGTTGTCGTTGCTCCAGCCTTTCGCTGTGTCTGGTGATGACGATGTCCAGGTTACGCGCTTTTGGGTGGGGAAGACGCGACAGCCTTGCCAGTATGATGTAGCAATGGCACACGGCTGTCGGCACTGTAATTAGCATGTTGTACGTCAGTACGAAATAGGCAAGGAGGACCCGCTTGCCCAATGCGGCAACGGCCAGGAAGTTTTCTCGTCGCCGTGGCCGGTTGCTCTTTTTGCGGCTTTTAGCGTTCTAGTGGCGATCCCAGCCCGTCCGGACGACCCGAAAGCCCACTCCAAGCCCTGTAACTGAAGCGCAAAGGACCTACCATCAGCCAACCACAGGACAGAGTGGCGCGCGATAAAAGTTCTCTGGCGAAGCTATCGCGCAGTAGCAATTACACGTAATTTTTGTGCTTTTCCACCAACTCACGAAATTTCCTTCTCCGGGCTTCCATCGCGACATTCGCGGCACGCGAATACGACTCTCCCCGACGCTATTACCTGGTCCTTTCGTTGCTTTTTCTTTTGTGCCCTCTTTTTGGTCTTCTTCCATTCGTTTCTGGTTCCACGACGTTTTTGCGACCCAGCAACGTCATCTTTCAGCGGCCTTTTCCATACGACTTTCTGTTGCGATAGGATTGATCGTCAATTCGAGCCGATATTCACCTCCATCTTCCTTGCTTCGCCCTCCATTTTACACAGAAACAAAATGGCTGGCCTCGGCGACGTCGTGTCTCTCGTGGGCAGCCGCTTCGCCAACAACCTCGCTGGCTCTTTTGGTAGCCTCACCATCCACCAATGGATCCGCCTCGTTGTCATCGCTGGCGCCTACATGCTGCTGCGGCCCTATATCGTCAAGCTCGGCGGCCGTGTTCAGATGAAGCAGCACGAGGCCGACGAGAAGGCGTCGCTGGCCGAGGCCGTCGCGATCGCTAACGGAGAGAAGCCCGCCCTGTCGGCCAACGACCTACGGGGCGGGGCCCCCAAGAACTCCAAGGCTGCGGCTGCCATCCTGGGCAGCGACGACGAAGACGACAGCGACAACGAGGGTGCCGTCACGGGTGCTGCGGCGTCTGGCACAGACTGGGGCAAGAACGCGCGCAAGCGACAACGGCGGATGCTTCGCAACATGCTGGAGGCGCACGAGCAACAGCTGGCAGACGCGCAGGCCGACGAAGACGATAAGGACATTGAAGAGTTCTTAGAGGACTAGACGTCGATAGCGAGTCGGACGATGGACATTGATGTCCGCAGAGATCATCAAGGAACTGGTAGCTGGCGGCATTGCATCTGGCGTTCTTTTTGGGGCAGCGGCATACTATCAGAAATAGACTAATAATGGGACACGTTTTTTATGCAGAGATGTTTTGTGCAATCTTGTTCGATGTCGCCAACGCAAAGCGATACGGAACGCTGGTGTGCGTGCCGAATGCTATGCATGTCATTTGTTCGTCGTGCGTGGCCGCTAGTGCAGACGCCTAGGCGGTGTACTTCACCGAAACGAGGCTGTGAAGCTGCACGACCATACGGGTCTAAGCCACACCGGTATATTAACAAGGCAACAAATGGCGATCCACGACTGATGAGGCTCTGCAGGGCTGCGAGCTCCCTTTGACTGTCAAGGCACTGCCGACCAGGATGGACCTCGACAGCTTAATAACAGCAACGCCTAGGCAGGCTGTCAGGCTGTCAATTTGACCCGGCATTTCCCATCAATGCCACCTTGGAAGAGCCTCATCACCCCACCCACTCGACCGTCGCCCTTCAATCTCGTCTGACCATCAATAGCCTGGTACGCAAAGATTGTGTTCGGTGATGTTCTGCGACTTCGGACTCGCCCGGGGCGTGGAGGGGACTGCTGCGCTCTACAAGCACATCATCATCTTCGGTCGACAGTGACTCTCCCTCGTTCGGCCTGCTGGTGTTGCCCCAGTCGACATCACCTGGTACTTTTCGCTCTCGTACTCGTCCTCGATATCGTCTTTTTTCTCTTGATATGGACTTCGGTGCCGAAATGGTGGCCGGTGTCCTCTTGGCTATGGCCACACGGTGCTTTGTCCGCAAAACTTGTGTGTGCCGTCTCTGTATGTCCAAGGTCACGTATAGCATACTGTGCCGCCTGTCATGCTAGTGACATGGTTCGATCTGTGACAACTGCGATGACGGCCGTTGGCAGACTGAATGCAACAGCCGGCTCGCGTGCTATCTTGTAATGCTTCGATGGCCCTGTCGCCAGGCCCGCCGTGTACCGCCGGAAAGGGAATCAGGTGAGTCATTTTGGTGTATCCAATATGCTCAGACATGCACAGTCTTACGATGTAGCTGGACGGCGTAAGAGTGTAACCTACCTGTGAAAAGTATATCGAGTTAGCCTGGCACAAGAATTCACGTTTTTTGCACCTTACAGACTGCTTCTTTCACATTTTTTCTTTCTGGGTGCCTCCATTCCGTTCATTGAGTGGTCTCTGCTGCTCATGTCGCAAGTGTTGTGTCTCGCGGTGCACAGCTCCTCACTGCCATTTGTAATCTCGGCATCTTAGTGTTTGTCGCCAAGATCCAAAGCTGTTGACCTGATAGCCATGTTGGCATGAGTTACTAACGAAGCAGCTATGCTCGCGTACTTTTCTTGTGTACAGTTGTATGTCTGCGAGAAGAAGACCCGTCACATGCCATATCTGGGAACCAGTCGGCGCTCGTCAACTGGGGGTTGAGTGACGGCCAGCCCAAGTGACACTTGTATTCCTTCATGGCCGTCCGTCAGCCTCCTGTGCTCCGTAGAGAAGAACGTGACTTATGTCGGACAGAGACATGGGGGAATGTCTCGCATCTGGAACGGCCGGATCCAAGAAACCGCACATTGGCGTCAAATCTCTCACGACTCTCATGACGGGACAGAGTCTTTAAGGCAAGTGCAATACTCCTGCGACACGCACGAAGGAGAACCTATGCACAAACTTGTGGATCGGAGACAAATCAAACGTCTGTGTCACGAGTGCAGAGGTAGAGTTCATTTACGCCGCCCGTGTGCTGGGCCAACCGTTGAGACAACTGTTCGGTTCCTTGGCAGATAGATTGGTGTTGTGATGGGCATGGATGGAGTATGACGGTACAGGCAGCAAGTTTGTAATTAAATAGGGCTAACAAGAAACAGGCGGAGATAATTGAACCGTAAAATGCAATTTGGGTGGGGGAATAGGCTACGTAGAATTCAGATTATCAACAAGATGCTCCCACGTGTAGTGTCCGGAAGGACGTTCCTTCCTCTGCACAAGAAACAATCCTCAATAGGGGTCAGGCAGAAGTAAACGATCAAGAAAGAGCAAAGAGAGCAGTAACACGAGTGCTGGTCGTACCTCCTAGATTAGGGGAATATTCTTTGTGTAGGTCGGTCGTTCCTGCACCAAGGCGGCGACTTCGACGATACCGACGGCAGCAACGAGATAGAGGTTATACAGCAGGTGCTGTGCACGGCAGGCATGACCGACACAAGAACAGATCCCACCGCCACCATAACAGAGACGTCGTGCCCAAGTGTGACAGGGGTTTTGCACAACCCAACAAGCAACAAAACACAACAATTTTGGTAGCCAAGACAAGACGCTGCCCCCCTCCACTGGGTGGCCAACAACAACCACACGCCGGAACCTTTGATTCGCTTGGCTTCTTTTGGACTTTCGCTCTTTGTCCTTCCCCTCCCATCGTCTGCTTTGGGCAGACATCAGGTGTTTTCGACACAAAAGGGCAGATAGGGCGGTTGGGATCAAGGAAACTGGTCCAAATACCAAATGCACTCGCCCCATCCATCATGCGTCTTCGATCAGCCGATTTGGGACGACAGATACATCCGGCATACGAAACGTCTCACAAGCAAGTAAACAAGGCGATAGATACCGACTGACATGGAGCAATTGGAGGCATAACCTGGACACTGCAATGAACTGTTTCGAGGAAAAACAAAAGACCCAAAACATACAAAGAGTCGGCAAGGCGACCAAAGTCAATACGGAGGAATTACAACATAAGCTGCTCAGTTGCAATAGTCCAACCAGCTTTCTCTAGCGCCCCTGAACAGCGCCTTGGGCTTTGTGGATTGCGTCTGTGCGGTGGCCAGGATCCATCCATCTTGGTCTCACATGCATGCACAGAGGGACCGCTACTGTCGTGCTGTTTGCGCTCTCCACTCGGCCTGCGCTCGATCTCGACTCCTGCAAGAAGACGTACGACATACACGACCGAGCCGACGTCCGATCTGGCAGCTTTCTAGCAGACGGCCAACACAATTTTCACCTTGTCCGACGGCTTTCCGCGCTGTATTATGAGCCAGCTGCGGTCAAATGTTCAGCTCGCTGCATGCCATACTACCTTGGTTCGAGGGTAGGACATTGTGTTATTTTGTTTATTCCGCCCTCTCGCCGCAGTCTCGCCTTGACTTGCAGAACCCCTCATTCAGCTCCCTCCCGGTCCCTGGGACCCTTGTTCCGTGCCTAGACACTTCTGTCGCATTCTCCTCGCCCTCGCCCTCTGCCCTTCTATACTCATCTCCCTTCTCATCGCCCAAGCTGCCAAGTGTGGGTTGTGGCGGCCAGGCCGGCCCAACAGGCTGCAACGAATCTCCAGACCTAGCCTTGGCTGCATCCGTCCAGCAAACCAGCAACGACAACAGGTAAGGCTGGCTTGGTGGTGGCCTGACACTGGCTGCCCTCTGCTGTCTGCCCCGAATAGCGACACTCTGATGCGGTGTTCGTGCTCGCCCTCATTTGTTCCCGTATTCTTACCTCCTCTTCCCCTCCATTGTCTCTCGGCGGCCTTCCTTCAATCACCACCTTTTGACATATTTTCTTTGCACTGCCATTGTCCAAAGCCTTTGAGGCCGTGTATCTAATCCAAGCTTACCAAGTGGAGGCTCTGTTTCGTTTCTTGTTTCCTTTTGTTCCCTTTATCCCTACTTGTTTCTTTCGTCCGATTTGTTCTTAGGAACAACATTGATACTGCATCGCTTCCTTCTCCTCTCTAATCCTCTTCTGCTTTCTTCGCATCCTTTCTTTTTCTAACGAAGACACACATAGCCAACCTCAACACCCCCCCACCCTTGGCCAACTCAAACTCTCTTTACGATTCCGTTCGTTTGGTGTACTAAACAGCCTCGCTCTAGAGTGTGACTATCGTGGCATAGCGATTTTCGCCTCAGCACTAGACGAGGCCCGGCCTCCTTGCCAACACGATCCCGCTACACTAGTTCGAGGCCCGGGGCGTTGAACCTGAGCTTGCCATGTTTACCAGTACTTTCGGACACTAAACAGGAAAGCAAGCCCCAAAGCAAGGCCCGTTGTTTACTTCCCCTCACCACCGCGCCCATCGTCGCCGCGTCGCCGCGCAAAGGACAATGTCGATTTTGACAACCACTTGAACCGTGTGCGGAAATCCAAGACAATTTACAGCATGGCCGGCCGGTTTAGAGGCGACGACCAATATCCTCCGCGGCCGGGAAATTATCACACCAACAGCTCAAACTCGTGAGTCGTTCCCCGTTACCCCGCTATAAGAGATTGTTGCACACAAAGATCAGGCTGGCAATCTGACATGACAATCTTCCGTCCCATCTAGCATCGACGGCCGCTACCAGCGAAGTTACGATCGCAACCATGAGCGTGCGCAATCCGAACATCCCCCACGAAACGAGCAAGGCCGTGTTCCCCGGACGCTAAACTCTGCCTATACAAGGCGACGACACAATTCACTCAACGCCTTTGTCGAAGATGAGCGCGATGCATTGGCGAGAGAGCACAATCCAGCGTCGGCTGGCCTGTTGTCGGCGGGCGACGATGAACCGATACAACGCGGCGATGTCGACCAAATACCTATACTGATGGAAGTGGTCAACCCCGAGCGCCGCTTTGTTCTCATTCCAAAAGCGCCGACTGTAGAACCGGAAGCCAAGGCGGCCGACGGCAATGGGCGGGGACATGGCTCAGTTGCTTCTAGTGTATCGAGCGCCTCGAGAAACTCCAAAACCTCTCACGACTCGACCGGCTCCCCGTCTACAATCACAGCTACGGCCTCTACAATTACCTCCACAGAATCAACAATCACTCCAACAGGCTCGCCTTCCACACCTACTGGGCCGTCCAGTAGCTCGTACGGCGGTATCCGCACGCCCCCCGCCTCAAGCCGGCAGCCAGACAAGGTCTCTGAATACGAAGCAAACACCTGCCGCAAGTTCACTGTGCCGCGCATCGATTCCGAGTCGGCTTCATCTGGCTCAACAGCAACAGAGCCCTCTAAAATTCGAAGCGATAAAGACGGCGTGACTGCCACTGCAAGCCAGCATCGTCCTTCTCTTAGTACCGCAGCAGGGCTTACGGCAGCGGCGGCAGCAGCAGCGGCGGTGGCAGCGGCCACCACGGCGACATCATCAAAAGCAAAGCCTGAAATCAAGAGACGAAAGAGTCGCCTCGACTTGCCGCGCATTGACACCGACATGCAGCATGACAACAGAGCCCACAGCACAAACTCTGGTCGGCCGAGATCACCAACGCCGTCTGAATACAAAACACGCGATCGGCACAATGATAGTCGTGATAGCCGCGAAGGCTTGGGCGACAGAAATGGCCACCGGGACAACGATTTCTTATCGCCAACATTCATCAAGCACACGACCAACGGCCGGGACCGTGCCTACTTTGAGCAAGCCAGCCACGGTCAAAACTCTAACGGCGAGTCTGACAGTGGGCGGGCCCGTTCCGGTGACTCCCTCTCGTCTCACAGTGACTGGAGGTCTCATGACCGCGACGAGCGCAGCTCAATTTCGGATTCGAGCATAAAGCGCCGGTCTACGTCATTCTCAGAGACAGGCAGATTATCGCGGAAGCCTTCTTACAAGCGGATCTCTCGCGATGAAGGGGCCGACTCTCGTGCCGGACGCAAATCGCCTTCTCCGCCACCGAAATCCCGTACTCCTACGTCACCGCAGCCACGGACTGACAAACGGCCGTCTTCTCCACCACGGAATCGTGAACGTGAACGTGACCGCGAGAGAGATCGGGACAGAGAGCGCGGACGCGATGGGGAGAGAGATCGTGTCAAAGAGCGTGATCGTGAACGTGACCGAGAGCGAGAGCGGGAGCGAGAGAGGGAGAAGGAGAGAGATAAAGAGAGAGAAAGGGAAAAGGAACGGGATCGGCGACTTCAAGAACAAGATCGGGACCGCCAAAAGCCAGTGCGGCGCGACTCGATCCCAATTAAACGACGAGATTCGATGATCCGCCCAGGTGACGGCTTCTCCGACGAACGATCCAAAAGGAGCTCTGCCAATACACCTCTACGACGCCAAAACAGCGAGCGCCGTCGGCCTTCGCCACCACTGCACAAAGACGATGAGTCCGTGGTCAGCAAAGCCTCCAGCAACCCGAATCCACGGCGCACATCTGCCATCGATGACCCCGGTATTAATGACCGGTATCGCTCGGCAAACTCGACCCCGCTTGCTACACCAAAACAATCAGGGGGCCAATTCCCATTCATGGCCGGCTCTCCACCAAAGGAATTGTTTGAGGCGACCAGACCGGTGTCTCCGAGGCGGAGAGACGACCGTAGACCAGGCTCTTCATCATCTCCGTCTTCGTCCCCAGAAAGCCGGTCGAGGAACCCGCACGAAGGCGATCGGCCAAGAGGTCCTCGCCCTCGTGCTACCCAGCATCCAAATGTAGTGCACAACCCTGCCACTGCGTCTATGCCGAACCTACAGTCTGCACCCAAAGCGTCGACCCTTCCAATGCCCATCTCTCTTCCCATTCCCATCCCTGCGTTGTCACCGGGTCGTGCGGACTCCCTTCGCGACCACGATGCACCTGCTCGTCAGGAACGAGAGCGATCTCCCGTTGACTCGCTGCGCTCCTCCCGCATTTCTTTGAATTCCAATCCATTGCCACCAAGATCATCTGCTGTTTTTGGGCATGGTCCCAATTCCTCACCGTCGTACCGCCAGCCTGCGTTTTTTATCAATATTCCGAGCACCGCGGCAGATGACGAGATCGCCGTCGATGTGCAAATTGTGACAGGAGGTGGTCCTCGGGAATGGTACCCGGAGCGGCCGCCTGCGGCAACAAGACAGGGCGCTGAGCGACCGCCAGTGGACCGAGCTGAAAAGCCGCTTGTGCCTCTCTATAAGCGTTATGCTGAAGATGTCTACTCTGGCCGGGTTGCGGGATTGCCAGAGTGTCCGAGAATCCAGTTCAGCACCAAGTACCGCGACTGGCGCACTTTGACGCCATACAAGGATTTCCTCATCTGCCCGACTTGCTACGATGCTGGGTTTGCACGGACCCAGTGGCGGAACGAGTTTGTACCGGTGACTGGTATTGATCCGAAGCTGAAGACGAACTGCATCTACGGCGCCATGCCATGGTACCAGGTTGCCTTCTTCTTCGTGCGGGCCTTCCAGATGCCCACGCTGAGCCTTTTGCGGACCATGTTTAACCGAGATGAGGAATTGCGGCTTCCATGCCCGGGTCCCAGACGCATTGCTGGCCGCTGGTTCACTATCCAGGATCCTCTAGATGGGCGCCCTGTGAGCAAATTCACGACCTGCGAGCAGTGCGCAACAGCCATCACGGTTCTTTTCCCACGACTCAAGGGTCTCTTGCAGGACAACAATCCAACACCTCACGACACAACCAACGTTTGCTCGCTGTACTACGAGCCAGAACGAAAGCGGCTTTGGAAGTTCATTGATGTGCTAGAGTCGACCAACAATGCAAGCATGGTGAACAATGCACCCGTGGATGTGAATGAGTTTATCAACAAGATTTTGGACATCACCCACTACGAAGAGTGCAAGCGCGACATCCCGGTGCGCCAGCGCAAGTGGTACTGGATGCGGACGATGCCGGACTTTGTGGTCTGCCAAGAGTGCTTCGACGAGGTTGTATACCCCGTGGTCACGACGTACCGCGGTGTGGCGGGCGATTTTTACAAGGAGCCCAAGGAGCTGGATATTGCGGCATGCCACCTCTATTCGCAGCGCATGCGAGACATTTTCAAGCGGGCTTGCCAGAACAATGACAAGGAGTATCTTGCAAAGAAGCTAGAGGAGCGGGCCGACGTGGCGGCGGACATCACCGCGCGCATTCAGCGGCTCCCAAAGGCGTCCTCAGCAGACGACGTTGAACAAATGAAGCTCATGGCGGAGTGGAAGAAGTGGGAGTAAACCAGCAACGAGACAAATGCATGATGACAGCGGTCATGCCTATACGTATGATGCAGCATTCGATGATAGATGACGCCTTGGACATTGGGCATTGGAAACCGGACCCGGGACTAGAACTATGGGCGCGAAATAAATATATACATCGGACAAATGTATGCCAAACTGCCGATGAACACATAATAGAAACATTTGCAGCTCAGCACGTGTCGTCTCCAATTTTGCCCAGATGTTCCCATTTTGCCATCCATCTGCTCCGTTTATGGAGACGGCAAGGGGACGCAGGGCCTCCGCAGCATATCAGCCGAGAGCTGAACAAGGCAAGCTGGGGGGTTGTATGCATTTCGAAATTGTTATTCAGTTGAGTTGAAGCCCTCTATTTAATTTATTTTGCCTTTTATTCCTCTCGCGCAAGCAGCCCTCTTTTGCATTTATATTATTTTCCGCGTTTCCACCTCCTCTCGAAAATTATGCCACCAATAAACAAGCACCGTCTTTTACTCCTGGAGAATCGACACACGGATGCTGCCACGAATGATCACCATATGTTAGCTACCACCTTCATTTGCCGGTGGATCTAGCCCGGCACCCTTAGAGTACCAATGGCCCGGCAATGTGGCAATATAGAAGTGGACAGCAACGGACCCTTAGGCCAAGTGGAAGTCTGTTTTCTGGGGAAGATGCCTCTGCGAAGGCCACCCGTGACCATAACTACGTAGAGAAGGGCAGAAGTGCCTGCAGCGTAAACCTACGACACCATCGCCCGCCGTCTACGAGACCACTTGACATCATAGGGTTGTTTTGCTACCAACTATCGCGGTACGATGCAAATCTCAACAATTCTCGCAGCTTTTGTGGGCACGGCGCCTGTGCTGACTGCAATCTACCGCGAGGGAAACACCTGCACAGTGACGCCACAAGGGGCAGCGACAATTAAACGACGATCGCCCGCGCCAGAGCCAGCCGCAGCGCCGGGGCCACAGCCAGAACCGGTCTCTGACTATATTTCCGAGCAAAATATAGCCCATGAACAGTATCCGACCGACCGCACCGATGCGCCGACGCCCACGTCCGTCATCTACAACGAGGTGTATCCGCGTCCGGAGCCGGGCAGCGACGGCGCGCGTCGATACGACCGCAAAGCGGCGGCAGTTTCCGAGTCGATAGCAGCGGCACGACAGGCATCGGCGTTGGCCTCGGTGGCTGCCGTCAAGGCGCTTGCTTCGGCCAAAGCGAAAGGCTTCGCGGGCCATGGTAGCCGGGGTCCGCTGAATGCACGCGACACAGACATCTTGGAGAGCACGGAAGGCACCGGGGAGCGTGCCACATTCGATGCCGCGGCGCCCGACGATACGCCGCAGATTTTGGCCGCGTTCAAGCAGTGCGGCCACGACGGGCGCATTGTGTTCTCCGAGGGCACGTACAACATCCGGCAGGTCATGAACACGACCGACCTGCGCAACTGTGACATTGACATCCTCGGCACGTTTGTGTGGAGCGGCGACAACATCCAGTACTGGCTATCGCACAGCTACTCGGTGGCCTATGCGGGACGGTCGACGGCGTGGTTGCTGGGCGGGACGAATGTGTCGATGCGCGGGTACGGTAAGGCGCTCTTCAACGGCAATGGGCAGACCTGGATCGACCAGAACCACGGGCAGAGCAACCAGAACGGGCGGCCCATCAGCCTGACGATTTGGCACGGCACTAACATTTTCATCGACGGCATCACATGGCGCATGTCGCAGTTCTGGCACACGTTTGTGGCGCATAGCCAGAACGTGACGATGACGAACCTGGACATGGACACGCACAGCAGCAACTCGAATTCGGCGGTGAACACGGACGGCACAGACACGTGGAATTCGCGCGATATTGTGATTTCGAACTGGACGGTGAAATGCGGAGACGTAGGTTGTGACCACGGTTCTTTTCATTCTCTCATTCCTCTCTCGTCCAGTACTTTGGACTCGTACTGGGAAAGAGTGCTGACAGAGCATAGGACTGCATCTCCGTCAAGGGCAACAGCACCAATGTGCACGTAAGCAACGTTGTTTGTTGTACGTCGAATTCCCATGCTTTGCATCGTTCGCCAGGCACTGCTGACCTCTAGACGAATCCGGCTGCGCGTGCATCGGCTCGATCGGCTCCAACAGCGGCCAGCCCGACTACGTCGAGAACGTGCTCTTTGAGAACATCACCTGCCACCACTCGTCCAACGCCGCCTGGATCAAGACGTACCCAGGCACGGGCCATGTGCGAAATGTCACCTTCAAGGACATTGTCGTCGACAACGTCGACCAGCCCATCTATGTCACGCCCTGCATCTACTCGGGCAACGGCTGCGACAGCTCTCGCCTGACGATTTCGGACGTCACCTGGAAGAACGTCACCGGCACAAGCCGATACAACGTCGCCGTCGGCATCCACTGCTCGTCGGCGGCACCCTGCACGGGCTTTCATTTCGAAGACATCGACATCAAGTCCGTCGCGGGCGGCACCTCCAAAGTGCTGTGTTCCAACATCAAGAACCAGGCGACCTCGGGGCTGACGTGCACAGAGACGTGTCCGGCCAATTGGCCGCAGCAGTTGAGAGGAAACCGATAGACTGGGCGACGACGGGCAACGACGGGCGAGAATGAAGCATATGCTGGCGGCGTTGGAAAAGACGTAGTTGTTTACTTTAGCTGTGAGAATAGACGAGAAGTGAGCCAAAGTTAGTGGCAGGAGCTGATTGCGCTAAGCGGACCCAGCTTGTACTTCGGATCGGTTGATGGTTAATCCGAACAACCCTGCATCACGTGCGACACCTACCGACCTTTTTCGTCTTAGCGTCCTTTCCTCCCAATAGGCGGTGTTAGGGCTCCACCGCACGAAAAACTCACCCGAACAGCACAATGTGCCCTGTGGCTGCTGCTTTGGCTTTTTGCAAGTGCGGGACGCCGCCAATTGCCCAAAATTTGCGGAAGATTGTGGGTCCCCTCCAAAATTTTGTTAGCAGCCAGCGGACTGCTACAATTTTTTTGGGACTGCACCTTTTGGCACTATTGAGTCTGTCGCTTTTCCCTTGTCTCTCTTCTTCCCTCGACATTCCCCCCATCACGACACATCGACGACATCGACAGCCGCCGACGACGACGACCACATACCGACACAATGTCTTCCCGCCCGACCGTCACCATCCAGGGCGCTGATGGCAAGCCCACCAGCGCCACCCACCCCATCCCGGCCGTCTTCCTGAGCCCGATCCGTCCGGATATTGTTCAGCAGGTGCACACCGGCATGGCCAAGAACAAGCGCCAGCCGTACTCCGTCAGCGAGAAGGCCGGTCACCAGACCTCCGCCGAATCTTGGGGCACTGGTTAGTGAATCCGCAGAGAGAGAGAGAGAATGAGAGAGAGAGAGGACGGGGAACGGATGCGAGATCGAACGAAAAGAGACGAGATTCGACTGGCCAAGAGGGATGAAACGACAACAGAACACTAACATATGCTCCAGGTCGCGCTGTTGCCCGTATCCCCCGTGTCTCCGGTGGCGGTACCCACCGTGCCGGCCAGGCTGCTTTCGGTAACATGTGCCGTTCCGGCCGCATGTTCGCGCCCACCAAGGTCTGGCGCAAGTGGCACGTCAAGGTCAACCAGGGCCAGAAGCGCTTCGCTACTGCCTCTGCCGTTGCCGCCTCGGCTGTTGCCCCCCTGCTGCTCGCCCGCGGCCACAAGATCTCCTCCGTCCCCGAGGTGCCCCTGGTCGTCGACTCCAAGGCGTTTGCCTCGACCTCCAAGACTGCCAATGCCGTTGCCCTGCTGAAGGCTGCCGGTGCCGGTGCCGATGTCGAGAAGGTCCGCCTCAGCAAGAAGCTGCGTGCCGGCAAGGGCAAGCTCCGTGGCCGCCGCTACCGCCAGCGCCGCGGTCCCCTCGTCATCTACGACCCCGAGGTTGACGGCAAGGACCTGGCCAAGGGCTTCCGCAACATTGCCGGTGTCGAGACCTCGTCTGTCTTCGCCCTGAACCTGCTCCAGCTTGCCCCCGGTGGCCACCTCGGCCGCTTCGTCGTCTGGACCTCGGCCGCGTTCGCTGCTCTCGACAAGATCTACGGCTCCACCACCGAGGCGTCGGCCCTGAAGAAGGACTTTTTGCTGCCCTCCAACCTGGTTGCCCAGGCCGACCTGACCCGCCTGATCAACAGCTCGGAAATCCAGAGCGTTCTGCGCGCCCCCAAGGGCGATGCCCAGACCAAGCGCGGCAACGTGCTGAAGAAGAACCCCCTGCGCAACAAGCAGGTCATGCTGCGTCTGAACCCCTACGCCGCCACCTTCATCAAGGACAAGGTCGGCCAGCAGAAGCTGAACACGGAGAAGCCCGTTACGGTCCCTGGCAAGTTCAAGACTCTGCTGAACGAGGCATAAGCGTGGGTCAGTGTGGGAGTCTGAGTATAAGGATTATGGGTGGCCGGTTGAATCGGTCGGAAATCAAACTTGTATTTCGGGATTCGGTGATGGTTTCATGTTTTTATTTGTTGCAAACTACGAAAAAAACGAGTCTGCGCGGTCGACAGCGGAAGGTATACCAACACAAAGCCCCGTTGGAGATGACTGCACCCCAAAAAATACTAAAACTTGGGAAACTACCAAATACTCGCTGGCTGTGATATGTATGTTGAAAGTGAGTGCTTTTGGCGATGCTCGCTAATGTTCTAAATTCTAATATGTGTCTTCTCACCCATCGCTCTTACCGTATGTGTGTCTCTCGTCCCCGGGAACGGCAAGACGGTTTAAATGAAAGTTGAGCTGCCTCGCATCCTGCATATTCTCTGCCACACTACAGCAGGTCGCTATTGCTGCGCAGCATGGGGATGGGGAGAATTCTGCCCTCATCTTGCTACAGATGTGACGTCTCGCATGTGTCTGTCTCCTTTGTCGAAACCAAGCTCCGAGTGGTCCAGTTCTTACATGCTTGTCTCTCTCGAGTGTTGTAGATCGTGGCGCTTTCTCGATTCAGCGACTCTGTCGTGTCCTTCCCCACTGGCACACAAACCTATTGAGATCAAAAGCAAAATAAGGTGCACGCGTAAGTTTACAAACACCAACACCATGTTGCCAGGGAAGAGATGGGCGATGTGGAATCATGTGCAGAGGTATGTGGGTCGTCATATGTTCAGGGGGCCACGAGGGGTTACTATATCGACTTCACGAGTGGACCAGTCGTTTTCGTTCTTGTTTATTCTATTTTCCTCTACATCGCTCCCTCGTCAATGTCACGCCGACTTCATCCTCTTACAAAAGGCTTCCACAGTGGGAAGCAGCAAAGAATCGACAGTTTGGTTCACATCAAGCGTCAGAGTCCTACTACTATTGCGAGGGTAATTCTAAGCGAGAAACGACCAACAATATCCAAGAAGATGGCTACGCCACGAAATCAAAACCATCATAAATACAAAACAGCATCCGGTCGTCAAAATCGTCGTTTGTTCACACTTCGTCTAACAACCCATCCACACGCCCAGGTTGCCCAGGTCTCCATTCTCACTAGCCTCTGCGGCATCGGCCATGGCCGCCGGTGAGCTGTTGAGGATGTCCTCAAAGTCTTGCGCCTTCTTGATCTTCCAGAACTTGTGGATGGCCGTCACAAGACGCTTTGAGCTCTCGATCAAAGTTACATCGCTCTCGGCCGCGAAGCACAGCCGGTAGTAGGCCCAGCCACGTTCGGCCCGCACGCTGTCGTCGGCGCTGAACATGGTGCCCGGGCTAATGAGCACCAGGTGCGGCTTGCTACTCAGGAAGACCATGAGCGCCATCGAAAACAACGGGCCGTCAATGACGTCGCCGGGGACGCCGTTGGCCCGCGGCGCCTGCCACAGCGGGTGCGCCTCAAAGTGCAGGCGGATCCACACAAACATGCCGCCGCGCGGCCAGTCGTACGAGTACAGCTGTGTCTTGGTGATGACGCCCCAGTCTGCGTCGGAGGACCGCACGGGCGTGCCCTGCTTGAGCTGGAACGAGCCCTCGTCGAGGATCGTGCACATGCGGTTCATGCGACGCTCGTACTCGCCGCGCAAGCCCTCGAGCCACCGGACCCAGCCGCCCACCTGCCAGCCAGAGAAGGTCGGATCGCTTTTGCTCTTCTTTCTCACGGCCATCTCAGTCGCCGACGGTGATGCAGTGGAAGGGGAAGAGGCGGAGGCCGAGATGGACGACGCGCCCGAACTGGGCAGCGGCCCCATGACAAGCTCCGAGATGAGTGACTGCACAAAGCCCGACGGCTGCGCGGTGCCCGTCTCGGCAATGCGCGTGAAGCGTTCGATGAGAGCGGGTTGGGCCGTGATCCAGCCCAGGCGGCAGCCTGGCGCAACCGTCTTGGAGAAGGTGTCTAGGCGCACAACACGGCCGTCGACGTCAACGGACAGAAACGACGGCACAAGCGAGTCGAGGAACGCAAAGCCCGTCGAACGCTGACCAGCCGCCTCGTCGATGGTGGGTGGCACAACGGGCGACTTGGGTGTGGGCAGGTTGCGCGAAGCGGCTTCGTTGACCGCCGCCGATGGATACTGCAGGTACCAGTACGGATCGTCCTCGGCAATGATGACGTCGTAGTGGCTGCAGATCTCATAGAGCTGCTTCCGGCGCTCAAGGCTGAGCACAATGCCGGTCGGGTTGTGGCCCATCCTAACGAGTGTTAAGAGTTTGCAGTGAGCACATATACAAACACAACAGCACACGAAAAAAGGGGCTACTCACGTCACAGTGTACATGATGTGCGGCCGGCGACCCCTGGTCTCGTCCCAGTTCGCGAGCACATCCTCCAGGCCGCCAGGGCCGTATGGGACCATGCCCTCGGCGTCTGCCTCGACGGTCACGACCTGCAGGCCCTTGGGTGCGATCTGGCTCAGCACGTTGCCATAGACGAAGCCCTCGCACAGCAGACCCGGTCGCGTGCTAATGTCGTCGCGAACGGGGTTCCAGTTGTCGACAAACAGCTCGAGCGTCTTGGACAGGCCGTCCGTGGAGCCGATGGTCAGCACAACGTCCACGCCGCCCTCGTACGGCACATTCGGGTGCAGGTACTCGCGCGCAAAGTTGCGAATCCAGCTTAGAAGCGGCGGGTAACCGTCGGAACCGCCGTACTGCAGTGCAGTAGCAAGATCAATCTTTTCCGTAGGCAAAACGCCACCGGGTGATATCTTGGGTACGACAAGGCGCTCGGGCGCTGTGCGGTCCGACGGGGCGGACGATGCCTGTGAAGCGACATTGACGGCAGCGACGCCGTCTGTCACGAGGACAAGGTCCTCGTCGCCCTCGTTGTCGTCCGCGGTGCCCTGTTTGTTGGGCGATGGCGTCCAGCGCACCGGCTTGGCAATCTTGGCCTCGAGCGTGTCATAAGGAAAGTACTGGACATTGGGCAGGCCTGAGAATGCAGATTGTCACAAGTCAGCGGCAGCCGGGGGAGACCAGAGGAATCACCAAACGTATGGACGGATGGACGGGAAATGGGGAGGGAGGACTTGCCGCCAGCAAGATTAGCAATGTTTGGGATCAGGAAGAACCTATAGTACTCCTTCATCTTGCTTGCTACGCGCAGGTTCGTGGCTTCGGAATACAGGTGAGACAGGTCGCGTGGCGGCGGCTTGCGGCCGTCGGGGGCGCCGTCAAACGAGCATTCCGAGCTGGAGCCAGCGTCCGATACGTCTGTGGCGTGGTCCGGCGAAGCCGCTGAGTCTGCGGTCTGCGACCCGATCAGGGCGTCAAGGTGGAAAGAGTCCATACTGGGCAAGTCGACGATCCGACGCTGAGGTGCGACTGTTGCCTCTCCGAGTGCGATGAGATGGTGGATGGCGAGACGAAAGGGAACAAGTGAATTGTGAATGGTGAAAGATAACAAGTCGGAGCCAAAGGCTGAGAGGTAGGTACGAGTCCCAACAAGTGTGTGCGTAGTGGGTGAGGTGGGAGACGGAGGGCCCAGAAAGCAGGATGCCACTCCCTTGTTCCTTCCGATAGAGTGTCCGGGCTGCAAGCGAGCGTAAGTGATAAGAAGTGGCACGCGAGGCAGGAACGGTGGTCAACGGGCTAAGTGCAGACCTAGGCCCAAACAAGAGCTAATATTATATTATAAATCAACACCAAGCAAAGCTTGGCAAACGACCGTCACGAACCACTGCGCCGTCTCGAAAACAGAAGACGGGACGTAGAATAGCTGTGAAGGAGATAGTCAAGTTTACGGGTTACGGGAGTACGTATTCAAGCATGGGGGATGCTCCTTCCTCATTATGGTGAACCGGCGCAGATGTGGTGGTGGACGAGGCAGGAGCACAGTGCATATTTCGAGCCACACCAACCCAGAAAAGACCCCACCCGGGGTCGGTCGTGTCAAAAACCGTAGACACGCCCTTTGTCAGGTCTTTGTTTTTGCTCCGAGGCCGCGCGGTTCGTGCTTTCCGTTCCCCAGTAGGAATTGTGTGGGGGCGGCTGGTGGCACTTTCCTTCGGGGGTTGCTCGTCTGCCTTTTCCTATTTTGATGATTTCGGGCTGGCTTTGGGCTCGTTTAGTAAACTGCCCGGAGGATGCATTCCAGGTTACAGTGGTATTAGAGACGACGCTTGCGATTACTGGAATCGGCCGTCTAGGCCAGACGGTTGCTGCTAGGCAGCTATTTACACAACGCATTGCAAAAACAAGACCCCCATCGTCGCAAAAGACGACAGAATGCACTGGGAAAACGCAAATGCGGAAGGAACCAATGAACGCTGGCAAACACTGGCGGGAATGGGCAAAATGTTGCGCGAGGTGGCGTCTTCCGCACGCTTTCGAATCCAACACCTGAGCCCGACCTTCCCTTTTGTGCCTGGCGTACCTGGGGAAGGTGCGCCCGTTGCTGTCAAACGCTATCCGTCCAATAGCTGCTTCGCACGTTGAGCTTCACTTTGTATGTCATGTCGGCGTCCGAGGCCGATCGGCTCAGTATCGGTGCAGCGGACGTGACTCGCCGGACCGAGCACTTACACTGGGTGATCTGCAGCGAATTTCCTCGTCTGTACTCTACTCTCATTTAGTCCCACCAATCGCCATAGGCATGTAAATGGTAAAAGAAAAAATAAGATACAAAATCAAACCGCATCAAGAGGATCCTGTCTTTTAAAAGTCAGACTTCAAGACAGGGACAGCGAACTGGCCCAAAGTTCAAATTTCTACATTAAGTATGTAGCTTCATGTGCTCTGTATTCTCTGCCCATTGCCCTTCTCACGCACCGCTCACAGCCACCGCGGCTATAGGTGCAGTCACGTTGATTGCCACCGTCGGCACGTCCTTTGCGACGTTGGCTGCCACGAGCGTATTGTCCTTTGCGATGCTGGTGGCCGCGGCCGCGGCCGCGGCTGCAGCTTCAGCTTCAGCTTGCTTCTCCTTCCAATTTTCCTCGTAGACGTACCCAAGCTCTTGCAACGACGTCGCCTTTTGGCCGCCCTCTTCAAATTTGACCTTGCCAAACAACGTGATCGCCCGCATCCAGACAAGACGGTCGTCCCAGTGCGGCGGCTCTTTACCCGCACGTGCTGTGGCACTCTGCGGGCCGTGCATGATGCGCTCGTAGCATGCGTTAATGTAGACGCCGTCGTCGTTGTGCTTCCACTTGTGGAACGTCGGCCCACGCACCTTTTCGGCCTCGCGCTCCCACTCGTTCATCTCCTCGGTGGTCGGCAGGTCCAGCGTGTTTGCCCACACGCGCGACACGACAGCGGCCTGGGCCTGCGTCAGCGAGTACGGCACGACCATCATTGGCAGGCACAAAAAGGCCAGCGTAGGGTGGTCGATGTGGAACATGTCGTCGTACAACCGGTGGATGCGACGACCATTGGACAGCATTGCACCGAGCCCGTTGACCGTGTCCTGCGCCTCCGCTTCCGTCGGTTTGGCCTGCTGCAAGAAGGGCAGCGAAAAGAGGTAGCCCGTGCCGAAGATGACGGCGTCAATGTCGCGCAGGACACGGCCGTCGGTCAAGCGCACGCCGCGCTCTTCCACAAGAAACTCCTGGATTGGAGGTACTTCCTCGGCCCCCGTGAGCTTCTTGAACAGGTCGGAGATCACGGGCGTCCTCACGGACATGTACAGTTCCTTGGTGACAGTCTTGATCTGGGTCGAAATGTCCAGCCCCGACGCCGAGCTGCCGACCACAATGACCTTTTTGCCGCGGAACGGCGCCGGGTTGCGGTATCGCTTGGAGTGCGTGAGCGTACCTGGGTAGGCCTCGTCAAACGCCTCGATGTTAGCAATGGCCGGCACATACGTGATGTCGTAGTGACCTTGCGCCACGAGCACGGCGTCGAATGTCTCAACAGTGGGAGTCCCACTGCGCGTGTCGGACGAGTGGATCTCCCAGCTGTCTACATAATCGTCGGTCGCCCTGGTGGTCGCCCCGTTGGTCCCAATTCTCTGCCAATTTCTCGGTCGCCGCAGAAGGCGCACGTTGTCCACCTTTGTGTTGAACCGAATCAAATGCCGTACGTCCTGGGAGTAGCTGATAAGATACTCGGCAATCGTCCTCCTGTGCGGGTAGATGGGAAGAGGTTCGCCGGGGTGGTTGGCCTCATGCACGTCGCGGATGGCCATGTCCGTGAAACCCATCAAATGATGTGGGATGTTCACATAGAGCTCATCGTATGTGGCCGTCGAAAACTCCGGTGCGCCTGTCTTGCCGTCCTCTGGCTGCAGAGGCGCGTCAGGCCGGAAGTATGGCGATTCCTGCGGGATGTGTTCCTCGTCCGTTGGCCGCGAGCTGTAGTTCCATATTCCGCCCACTTCGGATCGCTGCTCGTACACCACAACACGGTCGTAAACGCCCTGTTCTTGGATGTATCGGGCCGCCGTCAGGCCGCTTGACCCGGCGCCGATAATGGCCACGCTGCGGACAGCAAATCTGGGAGTTGTCATAACTGTTGTCGAGTGATGGAAGAATATATGCACATTAATACAAAGCAAAGAGAATAAATAAAGAAAAGAAAGAAAAAGAAGAGAAAAATCGTTCTTGGAACAAACGCAGGCCGCCAAACATCCAAAATTAACCCAAACCGTCAAATGGAGGAAACGCAGTATTCCAAAGCATCAAAACAATGCAGAAAATGATTCCACAGGCCATTCATTCCCCTGCTGCAAAAGCTACTGCGATCGCCTTCTACCCGCCTTGCACGCAGCTCGCGGAAACTCCCTCCCTCGCCCTGCGAGTGGTCTCGGCAAGCATCGCCAGGCGTCGATTGCGCAACAGCACTTGCATGTTGCGAACGTTAGCCTGGCGCGCCGGGCTGTGTGGAAGTGGTGGCAATAATCGTCGACCGGGTGTTGGTGTCGATGATGTGATTTCATGGGGCACAAGCCCCTAGCTGCCGAGTGCCAGGGTCGCTGTGCTGTTAATTCTGCCGCAAGGGTCGCAGTTCCCTCTCACCGCCTTCTTCTTTCGGTCGCACTTGCCGAAGCGCGACAAACAAGCTTGGTCTTGCCTGTGACAAGTTCATGAGAATAGTGGGTCCAGGACGGGCGCGTGAATGAGCTCCTTCGACGCTTTCAGGTCAAACGACATCACCACACTCTCAAGCTGTGTTTTGGGTTCAACGTCGCCCCAGCTGCACGGCAACCTGACGACACCGACAACGCGACCCAACCTGCGATACACAAATGCGCGCCGCCGCTCACATGTCCGCCTTTCATTGACGCGACGGCTTTCGCTACCGCTACTCGAACCGCGGCGCTGTGGGCCGTATTCTGTATCCATCGACTTACGACGATGCACTTCACTGAGAACACTTCTTAAAACCTTACGAGATTTCTCATCCACCTCTTACTGTCGTGCCGAACATCAGAGACACCGTCGCCATGTCGGCCGAGAATGGCGGCGGTCGTGACGGCGGTGCGGAGACGTCAGTGGCCGCGATACTTTCCGCGGCGACCGTGACGCCAATCGCACAGCTCGGCCCTGACTTGACGACCGCCTCCGACAGCATCCCACGCGCCGTCCGTGGCGACGTCACGATTGTGTGGCCCTACAACTCGGTCAATCGCTCGCTCGCCTTCTTGCTCGCCGAGCCCGACGTCCGCTTGCGCCGCTCAAAAGGCCAGATCCGTGTCCAGCTGCACGGCGCGAGCGCGGCCGCTGTGGCCGAGAGTGGTCTCGGTGGCGGCGATGAGTTGCTTCTGAGCTTACAGGGAGCAAGCTGGGCCAAAGACGAGTCCTCCCTGAAACTGCCAGGCTCGCGCGTGGCGTGGCAGCTGGAGTTCCGTGGGCGGATTGTCCTGCAGGCGAAAGTAGGCGAGGCACAGGAGGCGCATGCGATTGATGTCGACCAGCCAGAGGAGGCGGAGGACGTAGGCACGGAATCACGAGACGGACGTGACGGCACCAACGGCCACGCTGCTCTCGACCATCATCCGCCGGCGCCACCATCCTCACCGCCCATCGGCGATTTATTCCGCCTGCCCATGTCGCCTCTCCCGCGGCCGACCTTGAACGATGAAGAATATGCGTCGCCTGCGTTTATCAAGCGTGCAAGGATCTCATTTGGCTCGCTGTTTGAGCCCGGCTTCGACATCTTTGAGGACGACGGCGGCGTACGTGGCAGAGGCCGGAAACGGACGCGCTTTGGGCGGCCGAGCAATGCCTGGCGATACAGCAGCCAGTCTGTGAGCCCGGAACCCGAGCCAAAGCAGACCACGCTCTCGGAAGACGAGGATGACCGCGACAAGGAAGAGACAGAGGAAACACGCCCATCTCCGCCGACAACCATGGACGCCGCGACACCGACACCTGCGCCTCGGCCAGAACCGGAGATGACCACTGTCCCGATAGAAGCTGCGGCTGCCTCCATCTCGGTGTCTCCGCGGACACAAGGGCAGCTCCGGTCGGGCCTCGAGAACATGCACTCGTCACCGCCTGTTCCTACACCGCAACTGGACACGCCTACACCCGCTCTTCACCAAGACAACGGACCTACGTCGGCTATACCTGTCTTTGGCCAAGTGCAGATGGGAAGCATTCCCAATCCCTTTGCCACGAGCGAGCGGACCGCCTCTGCTCTTTTCGGGGCGTCTACGCAGCCTGTTGGCAGCAACCCATTTGGCGCACCGTCGCTCCCGGCCACGAATGATCCTTTTGGAGTGTCCCCGCCTGTCGCAGGCACTAGCAACCCTTTTGGTGCTCCACACCCTGCGGAGAGTAGCAATCCTCCTTTTGGAGCACCTGCCGTGGTGCCCTTCGGGACCTCTGGCGCCGATGCATTGGAATTTGTGCCTGACGGCGCCCTGTTCAACGACCATGTCCGGTTCCAATTCAGTGATCCTACTAATTCTTTTGACCATCATCATCATCAGCAACAGCAACAGCAGCAGGGCCACGCTCAAGATACCGAGGTGGCCGCTTTCCCTCCACCTGCCACAGACGAGCACTTTGGCGAGCCGCTGTACCACTACCCCGAACCACCGTCGCAGCACACAGCATCGCATGGTTCCTCGTTCGGCCATGGCGACAGCGGGCCCGACCACCCCTTGCACGGTGGCTTCGGTGTGCCCCGGGCGCCCACCGAGAAGCCACAACTTGCTTCTCCGTCACCACATCCACAATCGAATGAACCGCCGCAGAATACTGGCCAGGACCATATGCTTGTGTGGCCGATGAGTGCGCCTACCTTGGACGCCCGGCATGCGGAAGGCTCGATACCGTCGGCAGAGGCTACAGCGTCAACAGAGAGGCCCATTGACGCGGCGTCCTCGTTTATCGCGAGCGGCGCAAACGAAGGCGTCTTTGAAGACGACACGCCTGTAACGGCGACGGACCTGCCGCGAGAAGTGGATACATACGGCTACAACGACCGGCGCTACCAGAATGAAGACGAGGAGCAGATGGTGGGCATGGCCGACGAGCCCTCCAGCCGACAATCTGGAGAGGACGACCTGGAGTCCGACGGCCCAGAAGAGGCCGAGCCAACGGACCACCTTGTTGCAGAAGGCGACGAAGGGGATGGGGCCGAAGATGACGCGGAGGGCGACGAGGTCGACGGTGAGCATGTCGAAGGAATCGATGAAGATGGTGACAGTCCAGTGGGAGAAAATGAGGAGAGCGACGAAGACGTGGATAGTGCGGTGGAGCAGACGGACCAGCCGGGCGACGATTACGACATGCGCAACTATGCCAACATTGACGACGACATTGGGGACGACGTCGATGTCGACGACCAAGGAGGTGCTGCGACGTTTGACGGAGAAGGTGAGGAGGACGCGGGAGACGAGGAAGAAGAGTACGACGAAGATGCCGATGCGGAGGCCGACGACGACCGCTACGCTGCTGCACCCCAACACAGGTTCTCAGCAGACCTCGACAGGGATGACGAAGAAGAGGAGGCAGGAGGTGATTTTGAAGGAGAGGAAGAAGACTATGACGAGGAAGACGAAGAGGAAGAAGAAGAGGAGGAGGAGGAGGAAGAGGAGGACGAGGTCGATGAAGAGGGCGAGCATTCGTCGCTGGGCTTCCAGCGACCTCAGCTGTATCAGCCGCCTGCACGATCATCTCAACCAGCACAGCCAGTCGTGATCGATTTGCTGTCGGACTCTGACGACGATGCACAGCCACCTCCTCGACAGGAATCGAAACATCCTGTTTCTGAGACGCCCATCCCGCCACCCACTGTTCCGGGATTTGGGCAGCCATCAGGCGTGCAAAGAGGACCCGCGGCAGCTTCAACTCCTCCGGACGAAGACGAAGAACAAAGCGAGGAAGACGAAGTGGAAGATGAAGAAGAGGAGGAGGAGGAGGAAGAAGAGGAGGATGAGGGGGAAGAAGAGGAGGAAGATGAGGAGGAAGAAGAGCTTGAAGAGGGGGAGGAAGATGAGCCGGAAGAAGAGGGAGAGCCGGAGGGAAATGATGCTGTCTCGGTCCATTCTGTCGGTGAAGTAGCGGTAACGGCTGAACCAGAAGACGAACCGGAAGACGGACTCGAGCAAGATGCACCGGCTGCCGACGCTGACTCTGAGTCGGAGGACGAGGTCGAGAAAGAGCTTGAGGCCGAACTCGAGGCAGAACTCGCTGCGGACGCGACAGAAACCGAGAAGGCCGAAGAGCCGAATAAAGCGGAAACGACCGAACCGGCTGGAGGGATGAACGAAGCCGAGGATGTCTTGCCTGCTGATAAAGAGACGCTCGAGGCTGTTGTGATCGAGGAGGAAAACGATGCCGCGAGTCGGGCTGCTGAAGACACAAGGAAAATAACACGAGATACCACGCAGCGGCCAATAGCAGAGGAGCCCCTGAAGCCAGCCGTTAAATCTTTGGCGAGAGAGGAGGACAGCGGCGTGACTGGCCCCGATCTCGAAAGCCAGGACCAGCCGGACATCGGCAGCGAAGACGTGGCGATGGCCGAGGCCGAAGTCGACATACCCGAGGAAGACCGCCCAGACGAACAACCCCCGACCGAGGTCGTTGTCGAACTGCCAGAGGCCTCAGAAATCTCAGAGGCGCCAGAGCCAGCCCACAAGACGCGCAGCCAGGCCGCCCGGCTGGCTCAAGAAGCCACCGCTGCTGCCTCTACATCAGAAACGCCATTCTCTCCGCCGCCAACACAACACATTTCTTCCCTGGATGGCGCCACTGGCACTGCGGCTGGCGAGGTGCAGTCCATATCTGCTACTCAGACCACAGAACAGGCTGACGTTCCCGCTGCACAAGCGCATCTGCCGACGCCAATGCAGACACAAGACGGCGGGACCAGCAGCTTTGGACGCCACGATCATGCCGACCAGGCACAGCTCGAGTCTTTTCGACACACAGACGTGACGTCGATTGCAGAAGACGACGACATTGACGGGCAGATCCAGAGCCAGATTTTGACGGAGATGGCAATGAGTTTCGAGTTCGAGCAACAGCAAGCGGACGTTGACATGCGCAGTGTGGCCAGCGGCGGCGACGTTGACATGGCCGACCACGAAAACGTGCACGGCGACCATGTAATGGGTGGAGAATCGACACCAACACCACACCAAGCCGATCACGATCAAGACCATGGCGACTCGATGCAGGTGGATGCCGCTACGGACGTTGACATGCAAAGTGTAGTCTCGAAGCGGTCAGATATTGGCGTCGAAGACGCCGACGAAGTAGACATTATTGTCACTGAACCGGCACCCAAGGGATACACCAGCGATGCAGGTGTTGCTCAGTCAGCCGACGCGGCGGCCGAAACACGTGCCAGGGACGCGGAGGCAGCAACAGCGTTACACAAGCACAAAAGGATCGATGGAAAAGAGGAGACAGCAGAGGAGCCGCCAGAACAAACGACATTGTCCAAGTTGCCTGAAGAAAGCGACGGCAAACTGCATCTTCCAGCTAACGCAGACGACACAGCCGCGACTTCCTCTTCTCCTGTCGCTGAAACTCGCCATACAATGTCTCTCCGCTCGACGAACAGCCGTCTGCGGCGGAGCCTCAGCCCGCAGCCGGTTGTGCCCAGCGGCACCGCCACCCTCGATGCCAGCAACAAAGCGTCTGCTGCTGCCATGACGGCCGCCGTGGCCGACGCAACACCAGCGGAAGAACCCGACCCAAGCATCCAGATTGCACGCGGTGCGACAATGCGGCGGTCTAAGAGAGCACGTGCCGCTCCAGACGGAGCGACGGCGACCAGTGCAGTCGACCATGCACCAGCGTCGACAGCCGCCGCCAAAACGCGGTCTGCCGCTGCCACAGCACCGGCCGCGGCTGTGGACTCGACCCAAGGAGACGGTGTTGGCGACGACATAAGTGTCCAAGTTGCCCGGGGAGCGACCTCTAAGAAGCGGACCGCCTCGAAGGCGAAAGACCAAGCAAAGGACAAGGAGAAGGAGAAAAAACAGGAACATGAAAAAGAGAAAGAACAGGAAAAAGAAGAGAAAGAAAAGGAGACCGTGGCCAGCGTGTTCATGGCCCCTCCGCCTCCTTCCATGGCCGAGGTGAAGCTTGCACTCGACCGCTGCCGCGATACTGTTCCGGACTGCGTGCCGCTGCGTAACCTGCGCCCGCGTCTCCGGACGCGTCTGGACGTCGCCGTTGTCGCCACATCGTCGTCAGACGACGCGCCGCCACGGCGCACACGCACGCGCCAGTATGCCATGACGCTGACGGCGACCGATCCATCCCTTGTCGAGCACGTCGCGGCGTCGCAGCACCACTTGCATAACTTGCATGCGGCCAGCAGTGGGAGTCGGAGAAGAAGCCCAGCGGCCGTTGCCGCCAGTGGTGCCAACAACGCCGCCGACAACGCCAGCGACGCTAGCTCCGTGTCGGCCTCGCCGTCTGCTGCGGCGGGTGTGGACATTGACGCCATTGTCGAGGTCAGCGTGTTCCGCGCGCACAAGGACACGATGCCCACGTTCCGGGCGGGCGACGGCCTGCTGCTGCGGCGATTCGAGGTCGTGGCGCTGCACGACAAGGGCTTTGGTCTGCGGTCCACGGACGAGAGCGCCTATGCTGTGTTTCCGGCAAAGGCCGTCGCAGAAGGGGCGGTGGAGAGGGCCAGCCAAAGAGAGGGCGGCGACGACGTGCACATGCACGTCGCGGCTGAGAAGGATGCTTCGTCGCCGTCACCACCGCCCCAGGTCAACGGACCGCCTGTCGAGGACATGGATCGGGAGGCGCAGTTTATCGGACTGCTCAAGCAGTGGTACCGGCTGCTAGACGAGGGCGCACGAGCGCAGCTGGCGGCGGCCAACGCACGGTTTGTGGGGGTGGATGAGGCAGCCCGGGCGGCTGGTGGCGAGTCGCAGTAAAGAGGGCGCTGTGATGTGACGAAATTCGTACATGAATATCCGGCTCCGAAAACGGGGGCGTTTGCAAGGCATATGAGAACTGAACAGATAAGGCTACATGCATATATATAAATTAAATGAACTTGATATACGATGATGTGGTGCGGTTGAAGAAATTGAATACCCCGTCTGTAAATACAATGTGTGCCAATTTGGTCGATGTTGTCTCCCTAGAGACCTGATTTCTAAATACTATGCAGCCTGGTATAAACGCCGTGTCGACTTGCAGCTCTCCTTTATGTTTTCCGACATGTCCAAGGGCATCCACATAAAATGGAGTAGAATGTATCCTTTTTGCCCGCCCAAGACAGACCGGTTACGTTTTCGGCCTGTTTTCCTTTCCCAAGTGTCCCAGTCCCTTTCCTGGGAAGCCTTATCCTGCCAAGTCCGTTTGTTCCTTTTCCCGTACCCGTATCCCAGAGCGACGTCGGTGTCGACGCGCAAGCGTAAAAGCAACGCAATGCATCCCCGTATTATGCAATCGCCGTCGTCATGGGCAGTTTTTGCTTTTCGTGCAGCGACGCTGCGTCACTGCGTGCTGGTTTTGTGCGGTCGCTACCACCATCCACAGCGCCCAGCATGGCTCGGAGTCGCTCGATGCGGTCCATGGCCTGCTCCAGCCGCTCCAGCCGCCGCTTCTTGTCGGTGTCGCGCTGTTCGAGGACGGCAACGCGGGCTTCGAGGCGCGCGCGCGCACGCCGCTCTTCGGCCACCATTTCGTTGGCCTGCTCAAAGAGCGAGACGCTGAGTTCCTCGACCTCGCGACTGGTGTCCTGGAGACGGCCCTCGGCCTGGCGCCGCAATGTTTGCTCGCGCGTGAGAGCGTCGAGCAGCTCTTTCGTGGAGGGGACAGCGTGTGCCTCTGGTTGCGACGGCAGCTGCGCTGCAGATGGCGTCTTGCCACCAAAGAAGGGAAAGGAGCCGTACGGTGTCCTTGGAGCGGGCGATGTGGCGGTCGAGTCATGCGCGTCACGGGTGGTGGTGGCCGATGGCGGCGGCGTCGGCATGCCGGCCGTACTTTGCGGCTTGCTGGACTGCAACAGCGTCTGTGGAGGTGGAGGCTGCTGTGAAGGTTGTGATGGTGATGGCGGTGGCAGCGACGGCAGTGGTGGTGCCGCCGCAGTGGCAGCCGCAGCTGCCTTCAAGTTGGGCGTTGATTTGGCCGGCCGGGGCGACAAGAGGGCCGACAAGCGGCTGGCGGCGCCGGCGGGCAAGAAAGTGGTGCGTGTTGGCGAGGCAGGTGTGAGAGGCGGGTTACCAGCCGTGTCCGTGGATGTGGATGTGGAAGTAGATGTGGATGCAACGGCACTTCCCGCTCCCGCCGACGACAGCTTTCGCCGCAACGCTGTCAGTTCGTCTTCGTAGTCGGCCCAGCGGTCGATGGCGGCGGCAGCCTTTTGGTCGAGCAGGGCGACCTGTGATTCCAACGCAAGGATCTGCTGGCGGGCCTGCCGCAGCAGAGCGTCGGCATCGCTGGCAAGGGGGACGGCGAAGCCACATTGTGGACATGGGCACGACGACGGCGAAGCCTCTCCAGCGGCGGCCATGACGGAAGTAGTACGTGAAATAACAGTGTTTGTCGTCTTGTTCAGATGTGTCGACGCGGTCGTGATCGTCGTGGTTGTCGATGCCGCCGTTCGCTGGCTTAGCTGTCGCGCCACGTCGTCGCGTGTCGTTTCGATGACGCTTGCGGCGTGCCGCGCGAGAGGTCGTGTCTCTCGATCTCGTTGTGCTGGTCCAGCGGACGAACGATGCAGTTGACGAGATGTTGTCGAGACTTCAATATGGAGGAGAGTCAACAAGAGGTCAGAATTTGTCACCTGCCTTCTCGGCGCCTAAGCGACAATGTCTCCTCTCATGTCTCAGGCGGAAGGTGGCGTGGTTGCAGTTGCCCGCGCCTTCCCCTCCTGGTAAGGATATGCCTGTGGTCTGCGTGCCATGGTTGGGTGGTTGTCGGTTTATTTTGGGCAGGAGTCCAGGGTGTCCTGTGGCATGTGCGCCATTACGAGGAAGGAAGCCAATACGGCCCACAACTAAGGTGGCATTGCCATTGCCCGTACATTCGTAATACGCTGTAGCTCCCGAATTTACACCATAATGCGTGACGTCAAGCGCTTGTTCTCCCCTGAGCCAACAGCGCGTTTTCCCACCAGGGGTTCACGACAGGGTGTCGCCAACCGTTGCTAACAGACAGCGGCAGAGCGGACACCAAATAGTCTACAGGTCACGAAAAGGGCTATAGTTTTGCCGATCGCATTCACGTCCGTTCGTGACATTGTGACATTCCTTGGATGTCTGGAACGCTGTGCTTTTGATTTCTTTTGATTTCTTTTGTTTTCTTTTGTTTCTCATTGTTCGTCATTGTTCTGCTCATTGTTCGAGACCTCTGTTATTTCGTCTATTTTATTGCTGTGCCCTGTGGGCGGCGTTTCGTGACGACAACCCCGTCAGTAACGTTACAGGGGCCTTCAGGGACACGGTATCGTAAGTCTTCCGAAAGACGCTCTCTATTTCGCTCCTCGTTCACCGTCGTCTTTCAGCCCATTCATTAGGAAGGAAAGATCCGTTCCTGGTTTGGTTGCAAGAAACGGGCAGATGCTTGCTGCATTAGAGATCCAAGGATCCTCGCCAATCGCTGCCTATCCGCGAATCCGCAAACCCGTCACAGTTGTTTGCAAGATAGCACAATGGAATCTATTTTTGCAAGCCGCTCGCAGAAGCATCGCTTGTCTTGCTGTTTTTGAACTGTTTTTGACGTGGCCGTTTCCCGGAAGCATAAACGGCATTGGAGGAAATAGTGCCCGGAGGCGGCAGAGTCGCTGCCCTGAACGGCCGCATGAATGATGTGCAGCCAAGGTTTATGCACTCGTCGAACTGCCAGCTATGAGTAGTGCATCAATATGACATCCACAACTAGCCGTGGCTAAGCCGTGGAGTCGTATACGCATATATTCGTCAAGTAGAGATCCGGATCCGAAGACATTCTCGAGCCGCGATTGCGTCGATTTGGAAGCAACCCCAGTCGTGATCGGGGCAGGCCACCGGGGAAAGTAGACAAATGCTGTGCTTTCATAAGATGTGTGTTGTGTTCCAGTGGCGAGGTGCACACCTCCGAACTTCGTCCCTCCCTCAAAAAGGTCTTGCCACCTTGCGCAGCTCACTCAGGCCTGTCTCGGGGTCGATGTACTCCTTCCAGCTGACCGGGTACATCGGGCTCCCTGTCTCGCTCGTCGCCATCACCACGCCCAGCGCATTGCTCGCCGTCGACAGGTAGTAGTTGGCCTGGTCGCCCAGCGAAATCACTTGCGCCCGCACAATGTCGCCAGGCCGGAACGACTCGTAGATCTTGACCCGGTCTTTCTCCGTCGCCCGCACGTCCTGCGTCCGGATCAGTCCCTGCCACTCCGTGTCCAGCACCGTCTCGCCCACCACCAGGATGGCCACCACCGCCTGCTTCTGCGTGATGCGGGTCACACGGCACAGCACCGTGTTTCCAACGTCCGGCAAGACCTCGCCGCCATCCGCAACGGCCGCACGGGACACGGAAATCGTCGGTCTGCGATCAATGCTGCCGGCTGCCGATGCCGCTGTCGGGACCTCGATGCGCGTGAGCCGCTTCGCCGGGCCGGAGGGAGCCGCAGCACTCTTCTTGTCTGCTGCGACGGCCTCTGCCGACTTGGCAATCTGCACGTGTCCCAAGAGCGAGGCAAATACATGTCCGTCCGCGAGGTGTGTTCCAGGGCCTGGGAGGTACTGGCTGGCCAGACCGAGGTGCTGCCCGGGGACAGTCACCTGTCCAGTGGAAGCCACGGCAGCCATGTTGCAAGTCAGTAAATAAAATGGCCAGATGAAGGCTAATGGCGCGTCTGCGTGTGTTGTTTGCGTGGTTCAGCTGCCCTTGTTTGTGCTGTCGCCTGCGTCCCACGTTGGTGTGAGCTGAACGGGCAGGAAGCCTTTTGCCGCTAACTTTTTTTCTGCCCGGTGGCAGAAAGTGCGACCGCCTTTTTGTTTTCCGATTCCTCCAACATGAATATGGGGAGGAGGCAAGCACGCCAAAGCACGCTAGTCTTTTTTAGGTAATGACCTCCAACTTATATGTCGGACTCTGCTGTGAAACCATCAAGTTCTCTTTATTTTGTACGTCCACAGTATAGACAACGTAAGGTCGTACAATGCGGGATACTGTAAATGTCTTCCGGTGAGCTCTCAGCTCTTCTGGTAAGCCCTTGCATTGTTGGAGCAAGCTATTCTAGCTGAACAAGCCGAACGACAAGCCGAACGACAACACGCCTCTCAGATTGCCGTTTACTCGACAGTCGGTTTCCTGCATTTGTTTGAATCGTCTGTTCTCTGACGTGAGGCTAGTCAGCTTGACAAGCATTCGCATTGTGGCGTATTCATATGAAAATGTAAAGTGAAACAGGCGTACCTGGTCAGGGGCGCTAGAGTGGACGTCACGAAGTCAGGTCCCGCATGGAGGGACATTGGAGGGAAGGAGAATTGTGTTGACCTGACGGGGCCATACGCACGGCCAATTGTGCTTGTGGCGGGAACAATACGACGTTGTCAAGATGTATTGGTCCCCGAACCCAAAGGACCCAAGGATCGGAGATGAATGATTTTAAAATTGCCTCCTCCTCCCTTCTACCCCGTCAAAATAGTCACTTGGGAAGGGGCAAGTCAAGCGGCGCCCAGCATGTAATGATGAGGTGAGGTGTAGGGTATATTTAAGTCAGATCTGGAGTCTCCCCCAAGCTCGCCGAAAACTCCACCTGCCAGCAAGGCTGGGTAGCTGAATCCTCGACAATCGGTAATCGAAGTTTGAGAATCGACAATCTCCAACCGCCAATCGGAACGCACAAACACGATAGGTCGTGGTTGCTATCCGGGACATTGAATCCCGATTGACACTTTGCCTTTTCTGGTTTCCTGCCTTATGGCTGCTTTTGCATGCTAGCTGCACCAGCTGCACCAGCTGCACCAGCTGCACCAGCTGCACAGATAGCAATTCTGCAGAACGCGTCAGCCTACGTTCTCGGAGACCTGCCGCGGCTCAACTCAAAGCACATGTCAAGAGTTAAATAACGTTGTGGGCTTTCATTTTAAATCCAACAGTCGTCGTGGCGAAAACACAAGATAAAGAACATACAGAGACTTGTCTGTTCATTTTATTCAACCCTTGTTGGCTGTAACTGCTGAAATAGGCTCCGTGCTTCTCGGTTTCCGTCCAATCGGCCTCCCGACAGCAAATTGGCCGGCCGATTGCTTATTTGGCGGCATTATTCCAGATGTCTCAACGGTATGCAATTACCGCTTTCCTGTAGGCTGCTGTCGTCTACTTGCTGAGATGAGCTAGATGGTTCAGTTTGCCATTTTCGTAATATGTCATGACACCATTGGCCAAAAGTTCGATTTTTCCCTTTTCCCCCTTTTTACCCTGACTACGATGGTCCACTGGTTTTATAGTGGCTATGTGTGACAGAAACATATTAAAAATAGCCTATGAAATCAAATGACAAAAATGCCACTGTGGATCTAACAAATGAAAGGAGCAAATAAAAATGACAGTTAAAAATTGCAATCGCATCACAAGACATGGATACTGATATTTTTCTGATTCACACAAACAAGGCCAAATAGAACTGTGGAGTAATTACAGAATAAGACACAGCAAACTAACTCGAGCTCCCGTCCTTGCGCTGCGGCTCCCACACTTTTGACACAGACCACCAACACAAGGTCCAGGTCCGTAGATCCGTGGACTGCGACGCTGGATCGGACACGACGTGGAGGGTTGGTGTGAGTGGATTGCAATGGCGGCCGCTGGGTTGGTTAGTGCGTTGCTTGCATAAAACGGACAGAGAAAACTTTTTTTGTAAGACTTGCAGGCTGGTCCAGCTTTCCACACCACGCCAACTCCGGCGCTATCCCTCTCTGGATTGTCCATTTTATTCACTGACTCCATTTCGGCATTGACTAATTCGATTGGACCGGAGGAACTTCTGTCATTGTTTCGTCATTGCTATAAACTCTGGAATAATTTCGAAGCCTGTCATATCCTTATTGTTCTAGAAGAACAAAAAAAAGCTTGGCAATCTCCTCTCCTTTTTGAGGATTTTTTATTTCGTCCCCAAAGACTTAAGCAATATCATATACATTCGTAAATGAAATTCAAAATATTTACATATGGGGTTTCACACTCTTCCTTAAGAGTCCTTCGACTGAGTCGTTAGATGCAGTTGATGTAGTTTTCTTACTTCACTCAGATTTACACCGACTCCTTGTCATTAAATTTCTATTACGTTTCATTACCAGCATCCATTTTGCCATGCTTTTATTTTTGTGCCTTGAGGTCCGTCTATTTTCGTTGTCGTGGTTGTATGTCGACTCCTGTCACTTTCCGCCTCTGCCGCTCACTTTTCTTTCCCCGGCAAAATCGAAACCGAGCACGGCGACTACGAACACTACATAGGATTTAACCCGCATTCAGTGCGTCATGCGCAGCCATACACATGCGCCCATACCACAGAGACCATTTTCACAGTTC